AGGATTGTCCAAAGTCAAAAAGTCAAAAAGTCAAAAACCCGATGGCGGGATGCATAAATACCCCTTCACGTTCATACGACCAAAAGAAACATGATAGCGAGAGGACAAATAACGGGAAAACTAAGGTAAAACAAAAAGATACACAACTTCAGCATCTAGAATTTAAAACTAAAGATCATCTTGTAGTTTTTGTGAAGTAGACACTGTATATTTATCTATTAGGTCTTGGTACATTCCGATGAACTATTTGAGAAAAAGGACGAGACGTTCTTTTAACAAAACCCTGGCTCATGAATTGTTTGCTCAGACAAAAAATGGTAGCGGCTCTGTGACTGTGACTTGAAATGTAATGTTTGAAGATGTTCGGTATGAAATGGGAGTTTTTTTTTTTAATATTTTTCTGATATAATGGTCAAAACAAAAGATTTCGAATTTTCAATTTCTTCACGTACATGTAAGACGTCGATGTAATACTTACGGCAATCAGGGACTACATTGTTTGCTGCTTTAACAGCTGGTATTAAGGTATATTTACTATAGTCATTTAGTTTAGATCCACTTCTAGGTACATTGTGCTTTTATTTTCAATCTCCTCATTGTTATTGTTATAGTCAACAATGAACATCTCTTTATTTTTTAATTTATTCAAAGCGTGTGTGTTAGCCCGTATTGATATACAAATCAAACTTTGAAAAGCAAATTTTGTAAATTAAATATACTTATGTTTAGTTTTGCCATAATATTGCCATATTCTACATGAAATGAATAAATTAATTGCCAAAACAACAAAAATCTTTAAGATATAAAAAAGATTTCTGCATGGCTTTCAATAAGACAACTTCAATATATATATATATATATATTGAACATTTTGACACATGATTGAAGTTCAGTTCTATTTGTAATCTTGTTGAGAAAATTTTGAGTTTCTTTTCATGAAATAGGAGGGTCTAGTGCCAAATCATTAACTTTGGTCTGCACTTTGCCCAAAATAAGACATTGTCATTCAAAGGAAATGTCAAATAAGAAACAGACAAACAATATTTCAATATATCAATGTCAGAGATTATTTGATCCACAAATGCATTCACAAAAAAGGCAAGAAAAATGTTGCGCTAAAGTAATTGATTAGACCTGAGGTTTCAATTTTCTGTCAGGGGACAATAATGATATTTCCGTAACTAAAAATTATTATTTAGTCGAATGAAGTAAACCGTTTAAATGCAGCTTGTATCACTCTGGACTACTATTGTTTTATTTTATAATCACAGCATGTTCCAATGATAGGTATATGTGTGTTTGATGCTGATAGGAAAGACTCTCTGAAAAGAAGATGTCATTATTCATTATGCGTACCAAAAAGTATGCTTCATGCACCCTTTAATTGGAAGAGTGCAATTCGAGCCTACTGAGGCATTGGAATCGAGAAAGCGTTTGCTTTAGACAGGAGGAAAAAGGGTTTCATATGGAACGCCACAGCTGTCTTATGTGGAACTCTGATATTACGTTATGTTGTTTTATTATTACTTGATGATATTTTGTCTTTACATGATATGGTTTTGACATTACGTAATGATGTTTTGATACAACTCAATATGGAATAGTCATTACTTAATGATATTTCGATATCACACGATATGGTTTCGTATTGACTTGATATAGTTTTGTCATTACTTAATATGGTTTTGTCATTACTCGATGTGCATGGTTTCACCATTATTTAATTTGGTTGTGTCATTAGGCAATGTGGTTTTAACATTACTTGATGTGTATGTGACTTAACGTAATGTAGTTGTTTCATTACATGATGTGGTTTTGTTATTTCGTAATGATGATTTGCCAATTCTTTATATGGCTTTAACATTACGTCATGATGTTTCAAAATTGACGATTTTACACTACATGATGTGTTTGTTTCAGTATTTGATGTGGTTCTGTCATTCTTTGATGTCGTTATCACATTACTTGATGAGGTAAAACCACGTGACCGTTTCGGAAAAAATATGTTCTATTTTAAAACCGATTTCCATATGTCGTTTGTTTAATGTGCTTTGGATGAGTATCGCTATCCATTGAGTTAAAGTTCAAATTAAAGTTTGAGTTGTTGTTCAGAGTTATTTGGTATGAAAAAGGGGAGCGGCAGACAAAAATAAGATAAAAGTACTAAAAAATTAACTATTTCGGACATAATGGGGATATCCCCAAACTACTTGGTCCTGCCGTTTTTTTCCTTAGTTCTCAAATGGAAGCAGTATTATAATAAATACGTAAAAGATTCCACGGAGCCCTGTGTCTCGCCTGATATTAATATTGCTGCTGTCAGAGTGAATGCGTAATGTTGACTGTACATTTTTCGGTACATTTATCGGTAAAAACTAAATTTAAGAAAAATGTTTTTCTGTAGATGCTTTATCTTGATCTTGAAGAATAACTCCTATACAAGTTTTATAACAATTCATGGAGATTTACAAATTTATCATGTCAAAACAGTTTAATTCGGTAATTTTCAATGCAAAAAAAAAACTTATAAATAAGAAAATGTGGTATGATTGCAAATGAGACAAGTCTCAACCATATACCAAATGACATAGAAGTTAACAATTAATGTGAATGTATGGTCTTCAACAATGTGCAAAACCCATACCACATAGTAAGCTATAAAAATCCCGAAATGAAAAATGTAAAAACAATTCAAACGAGAAACCTAACGATCTAAATAATGAAGACGCCGACGCCACTACCGACGACGGAATATAGGTTTGTTGTGTCTCACTGTCGCTACATTAATGTCGCAGGCTCGACACAAATCAAAAGACTTGTACTTTATTGTCAACAAATGAGACACTTTAAATCAACTCACACTAAAGTTACAGGGATCGGACTAAGCGACAAAGCATCAATTCTATAAAATACGAATTCTCCGATTTTTTTTTAGCGTGTATGATCATTTGAACATATACGAATATCAATCGTTTATTTTTATAAATTGCATTCTCTCATATACCTCGCACTAATTGAAAAAAATAAACTTTTTGGAATATCTGTTTCACAGGTGACGACGGATATGTTCCAGTTGTCGTAACAACAACCCCGTCATCTTTTCCTCGAATGTGAACTACCAAATAAAACAAAATCACTGGGTTTGTACATTCACGATTAACACGACGGGTGCCACACGTTGAGCAGAATCTGCTTACCCTTCAGGAGCACCCGAGATCACCCCCGAAGGATTTATATTACTTAGTCATACCGATCTGTTGAATTAAGCCAATTGAAACTGTTTTTTACATTTTTTTTTATGTTGTGCTGTTACAGTACAGTCCGAGGTTAGGTTAGGGTTTAGCGCTCACATATATGTTAAATTCCGCCACGTGCACTTTCTTTATGTGCCTGCCCCAAGTCAGGAGCCTGTAGTTCAATGGTTGTCGTTGTTTCATATGTGTCATATTTGTTTTTCGTAGATTGTTTAGTTATAAATTAGACCGTTAGTTTTCTCGTTTGAATTGTTTCACATTTTCACGTGGTGGCCTTTTGTAGCCGACTATACGGTGTGTTGAATGCTGTACGGTTGCCTATGACTGCTTACATCCACTGCATTTAAACTCTGGTGGATAGTTGTCTCTTTGGCAATCACACAAAATCTAACTTTATTTCAATTTCTATGTAGTGTTTTGTATACTGTAACATTGTTTATCTTTTGTACGCATACCCCTGAGCCCTCTTTTCGGAAGCCCGAGCAAAAGCCCTTGATCCGCGATAGAAAATTCAAAAACAAACTCATATTAAATAAATCGAATTTCAACTCGAAATCTTAGTCTGAATGAGACTCAAATTCGAGTCTAACTCGAGCTCTACCTCAAATTCAAAGTTGAAGTCGAATAGTAACTCGAACTCTACCTTTAAATGTTCAACTCGAAACTCAATGCTAACTAGAACTTTAATTATGATAATGGCTTGAATTCTAACTCAAAATCGAAAACTAACTCAAAGTTTAACTACTCGAACAGTAACCCGAACTTTAATTTGAACTCTAACTCGATGGATGGCCACACTCATCAAAGGCACAAAAAACATGGAAATCTATTTAAAAATGGAACTAGTTTTTCCGAATTGGTCACGTGGTTTTACCTCATCAAGTAATGTGATAACCACATCAAAGAATGACAGGATCACATCAAATACTGAAACAAACACATCATGTAGTGTAAAATCGTCAAATTTTGAAACATCATGACGTAATGTTAAAGCCATATAAAGAATTGGCAAATCATCATTACGAAGTAACAAAACCACATCATGTAATGAAACAACTACATAACGTTAAGTTACATACACATCAAGTAATGTTAAAACCACATTGCCTTATGACACAACCACATCAAATAATGGTGAAACCACATCGAGTAATGACAAAACCATATTAAGTAATGACAAAATTATATCAAGTCAATACGAAACCATTCGTGTAATATCGAAATATCAGTAAGTAATAACTATTCAATATTGAGTTATAACAAAACATCATTACGTAATGTCAAAACCATATCATGTAAAGACAAAATATCATCAAGTAATAATAAAACAACATAACGTAATATCAGAGTTCTACATAAGACAGCTGTGGCGTTCCATAATTTCAACTTTAAAGCATCAGTTTAAAATTTTTATTGAGAAAGTGAATATGATAGTCGAATTTCCGTAAGCTTAAATCGTTATAACTTCTTGTCTATAAAGAACTTTGGTAAGAAATCTTTGATATAGACCCTTTAATATAGAAATTCCAGAAGATGCATCAGTTTATCAGAATCGCATCTGACTGATTTTTTTTTGGGGGGGCGGGGAGGGGGGGGGGGGGGTAAATTTCTACTGTTTGCATTAAAAGAACTCTTACGATCATGATATTTTTGATAGATTTGAAGTCAACGAATACGTTTTTCTAAAGAAGCTTCGTCGATAAATATCTTTCTTTTTTTTAATCTGATATATTTCATTTTTACCAGGTATCATCAAAGAGAAAACAAATTTTGTTGTACCGGATATGTACCATACCCTTATTGCTATCGTAAGTATGCTGATTTCTTGATGGTTAATTTTCCATTGTTGTCACTTTAATCATTCTTTGTGTTTATTTTCATCTTATTATAAAAAAAATGAAATGGCGACTCAAAAATAAACAGCAGTTGTTATTCTTCTTGTTAAAAGCTCGTTGTTCATCACATTTTAGGCTTTGTTAATGTAACCCATTTAATATTTCAATTTTTTATTTTCAATTTTTCATAATAAAGAACATAATAAAATTGTCAATTGTTCGTCAATTGTTTGCGAACAATTGAGAGTTTTTTCCTTTTTAAATGGTAAAATATACATTGTAATACAATCAGAGTGCATTGGATAAATTGTCATAAGAGTTTACCATTGTAAAATCCTTGAAAAAATAGGATAAAAAACTCAAAAGTTCTTTATCAAGAACGTGCCCTTGGCCATTAAAATCAAAACTTTTGTCAAGGTCATTGAATCCAAAGGCCATTACAAAAGACACCATGTGTCTAGGACCTTTGGTTTAAGAGATAAAGCTAATAATGTCTTTTCAAAAACTGTTCACGCGGGTTATGCCCCTAACGGAAAGGTCAAACCTCTTTGGTCATATGTAACAAAGTTGCGAATTCATGACTGAAACATTTTCAAGACATCTGCAACCATAACGGTTTCTGAGATTATTCTGACACAATGTATAAGGTCAAAAGTCAAGGTCAACTTAAATAATTGCCCTTGAGGCATTTTCAGGTCATTTTAAATGATGATCAATTGCCATCCTAGGTGTTTTCGACTTTTGGATCCTGAGTTTAAGTGGTCAATCGACATCGGTTCGTTTTCAAAGGGGCATAACCCTATCCAAGGCGTCTTTGGATCTTTTCGATTTAAATGTAGCGAAGTACCAGGGTAAGGTCCTGAACAAATTTCACTGTTCGGTTTTTGTCTCCCTACTATGGTCACGGTGTTTTTTGTGGGTGGTTTTGGGCAGATAACTCTGGAACGAAAAAAATTAAATATTCACAGGGTGAGTTCTGGATAGGTCTTTTTGACACCGATGCAAAATGTGAGCCTGAAAGCGAAAGAAAAGTACATTGTAATAAAGTGTATGTACTAGTATTAGTTTAGACTTTTATGTATAGTTCATAATAGGGTCAAGTACAAATCAGATAAGTTGAGTACGTATAATTTGGGGTCAAGTAATTTCCAGGAAAATTCAGACTTATTCAGAATGGTCCAGTAAGCATAAGTAAGGTCGAGTACAAATACTGCCGATTTAGACTTTTACTGGTTTGTAGTGAGGTAAAATGGAAAATATGTGTTTTATATCTGTACTAAATATGGGTGTGTGTGTGAGTGTAGACTTGTAAAATACCGGTTTCTCATTAGATCACGTCCTGATTAAACTTTTAATGACAGCATTGTAAACAGTCTTTTTCTACTTCTTTTCAGCACAATGTAATGGGCGAACAGTATTAAATAATGCATGCAACGAACCATACACGTCAGACAGCATTATATACAGAGGAGGCGGTTCAAGGAATAGTGGAGGGGGTACCTGTTCATCACCCAATTACTGTACTAATTGCCAAGATGGATTTTATCCATATGGTGGACAGTGTTTAAGTAAGTGCTCTTTACACAGAGATTTACTTTACTACATATAGCATCAAATTAAATCTCAGAACAAATTGCACATATGGCATCGAGATTATAAAATTATCGTTACATTCTACAAAATATACAGTGAGTGGCTCATATTCACCGCGGTAATTTTCTCCATTTTGTGATGTTTTTGTGAAAATTAGCTTGCATTTTCTCCCAAAACATATCACAAAGGGAGTTGTGCGCTATTTGTTGTCTATATCAACAATTAAAACGCATTTTATATAGGAAAGAGGTGTGGTAAGTTATCAGAAGTGTATGAGAGGGAACTCAGCAAGTTATCAATGCAAAATCAGTGACATGAAACTTTTAAATTTTTTTTCTTAAGACCCTACCTTGATAAACATACAAATGTGCATACTATGCGTATTTTGACTTGGTGATCCTTTGATTATGCGGGTCTTTTATGGCTTTATTTGGACCCCGTCTTATCCTATTTCGGGGAAATTTCAGAAATACAAATGTGACGTCACTTTTTTTTTTTTTTGCGTTGATCTCTTTGGCTAACTCGGCTGTGAATTTTTATGTGCTGGTTTATGTTGTTTTATGTATCCGTTTTTATTCTGTAGTTAGTCACCACTTCGGTGTTATAATGTATATCTGTTATATACTCATTTGTATAAATTTACTGTTTGCAAAAGTATGAATTGTTCTAAATACTAAGGATTTTCTTATCCTAGACATATAACCTTAGCCGTATTTGGCACAACTTTTTGGAACTTTTGGTCCTCAGTGCTCTTCAGCTTTGTACTTGTTTTGGCTTTCGAACTTTTTTGATCTGAGCGTCACTGGTTAGTCTTGTGTGGACGAAACGCGCGTCTTAAATTTTAAACCTGGTACCTTTTGTTAGCTATTATTCGTATGTTTCTCTGTCCTATATGTTCTCCCATTTATTTGTATTGTAGTCCTGTCATGTAATGTTGTCATTTTAATGTTATATTTAACATTGCCATAAAAGCGGGAGGTTTCGCTAGCCACAAAACCAGGTTCAACCCACCATTTTTTTCTTAAAATGTCCTGTACCAAGTCAGGAAAATGGCCATTGTTATATTATAGTTCGTTTCTGTGTGTGTTACATTTTAATGTTGTGTTTCTGTAGTGTCGTAGTTCTCCTCTTATATTTGATGTGTTTCCCTCAGTTTTAGTTTCAGTTAAATCAAACTGTAAACCAAATATATCGTATAAATTTAGTTGACCCAAACTAAAATCTAATTAATGAACTGGGTGATTAATTATCTTTACCATAACACACGAATACAACAGAAAAAAAATAAGATTTACAACTACAAACGATTTGAGATTTGACAAAATCCGATGAGAATAACAAATATAACATCAAAATTAAATACATGAATTTTGGATAGAAAAGTACTGTGACACGTCTTATAGCAATGCGAATTCACACTCAGCAAAACAGTCTCAATCGGGAATAAGTCACTTTCGGTAATTAAAAGATCAGACGACTTAATGTCAAACCACAATCTAACACGTGGTAAAAATGTCCTTAGTTAGTTTGGACAAAGGCACATCGTATGGATCGACCAATTCGTGAAGGTGTCCGTAAAATTTACGGAGTGTCATTTTTAATCTGTCCTCCTCATAACTTTGTTGGAGCAGTTTCTGCGTTAGGAGCACACTCCTGTATATGAAGTCCGTATAGTGTGATTATGCACGAGCATAACGTATCAACTGAGATATTTAAACACCATACGAAGGGGCAGAGGGTATGTTACTGCTGAGAAATGGGAAATTGATAGTTGGGAAGTTGAAATCGTCCCGTTTATCATAGATTTTCGTGTGAAGTCGTCCATCTGTGTCAATATTGAGGAAAAGATCAAGGTATGAAGCAGTCCTTCTAGTGTCAGTAGTATCCTTAATTTCAAGTTCACTGGGATATACGAGATGTAAGTATTGACTGAAATATGGGTTACTCAATGATAGGACATCATCAATATATCGGAAGGTAAAATTAAAGAATTTCGCAAGGTGCTTTTTCTTTTTGTCTTTTAGAAGGTTCTGAATGAATTCTGCTTCATACGAGTACAAAAACAAATCGGTCAGTAGGGGTGCACAATTAGTACCCATTGGAATACCGACTGTCTGTTGAAATATAAATCCTCCAAACTCAACAAATATATTGTCGATCAAAAAGTCCAGCATTTTGATAATAACATCTTCAGTATATTTTCTGGTAGATTCAGTGTGGTTCTTCACAAAATATGAATTATTGTAACCCAAAACAAGAAATTTGTATCTACGATTCCCATTTTTATAGAAAAAGCTCTGTTTAATGAGATGGTGAAGTCGATGTTTCAACTGAGCATGGGGAATAGTAGTGTAAAGCGTAGAAAAATCAAAAATCTTTATGTTGCTGCAAAATTGCAAAGATTGTGATCGAAGATTAAGCAGTAGATCTTTCGATTTTTTGAGAATCCACATCTGGTTAACACCACTGGTAGAATATATCTCATCACAATATTTTTGAAGCCCATCTTTAACTGTAGAAAGAATAGTAGTCAGTACTTTAGAAAGATGTTTAGTCGAACATTTTGATGACCCAGCTATGTATCGTTCTTTATATGGAGTTTTGTGAAGTTTTGGTATCCAGTATAATGATGGTAAATTTTCTTCGTTTTCTTTGATGTTGATACCAAAAGAAGGACAGATTTGTGATCTTGTAAAATTTCGTCCTTTGTAAATGATGTTAAAGAACATGTAGGATTACCAGTAGTTCTATTTATTCCAAGCTCTGTTGTGAGACATTGCAAATAATGGTTTTTACATATGAAGACAATATTATTGGAGGCTTTATCTGCTGGAACAACGACATATTTGTCATGCAAAGAGGATAAAGCATCCACAACATCCGGATTCTTGAAAGGGTTAGTAACTCTTGTGCTCATAGTACATCGTAGTTTTTGAATGCGCTTCTGAATGCATGATCGAATAGCTTTGATCCATTCAGACAAAGTGTCCAGTTCTGGTTCGTCTGGTTTGCGCTTTATCCATTTTCTTGCATAGTCCTCAACTGCATCCATTAGTAACCTGAAGTTCTTTTTCCAGTTGATGGGCTTGGGAATTATATATTTTGGTCCCTTGGCTAACAGCTCTCTTAGTTGTTCATTGGTACGATGCCAATGTCGCCAGTAATAACATGACCAGCTGGACTATAATTGTATTGCGACGATGCACATGAGCAATCCGGGGACTTGGATTTCACAGCTTTGAGGTTAAAGGCCTCTAAAACCCTCTTGTGGTTGAAAATCTTGGATGCAATAGACTTGGTGTAAGTTAAATATAACAGGTGTAGCTTTATTTTTGAAGTAATCAGGTATAAAGCTAATAACGTCTCACAATATATATTCTCAATGGAAAAAAAACAAACAAATGCTCCTGATATTCCATCACGAACAAACTATATATGCGTTTATGGTGGTCGCATGAACGAATATTACAGATATTTTCTCCGGAATTATTGTGAGAAAAAGCACACCTATACGTTGCCAGGTTTTTATTTAACTACGAAACGTAGTAAGTTTTTAAGTTCAAGGGTTTAATTTCTATTTATACTTTTATATATCTTTATTTAACAGTTTGCCCACCGATAGACAGTTGTAATCACAGAAGATGTACGACGTCTAGCGACAATTACTGTGCGTACTGTCAGTATGAAATTAAAGACAAACTGCACTGGAGGGCGTATACAAGGCATTATGACGGACACATGAAGCTATGTAAAAGTAAATTTAGATAAAACATAAGATACACTTTCTACTTTAAACAACAAGAGTTTATGCTTTGAAATTAAACAAAAAGCATAGCATTATAGAAAAATTACAATGAAAGTAATATTCAAGCATGCGAAAATCTATATTAATTGACCGTTGTGCTCATGTTTATTTTGATTCAATCTGCTCTGTAAAGTATTTTACTTTTGCAAACATATATAAAAAAAAAAAACGATTGAAAGAAACGTGCTGCGAATATACTTTTGTATTTCAGCTAAATATAAATGAAAATAAAGATGTGGCTTTACTATTAAGTTCATGAAGATGCATATATTTTATTAAACCACAACGTGTTAAAAGTTGAATGTACTAGCTAAAGTTGCATACTTTACATATCTAAGCTGTCAATTCCTGTTTCTAAAGTTTGAGATTCACGTTTCTATACCGTAGTCATGAAAATAGATTATTGAAAAAATATCTTTGTTTTCACTGAAATGAGACAAAATTAAGAAAAACGACACACAAGCATATATTACATACTGTACATATATTGAATACACCGTTCTTAACAATAAATAATTAATAAATACTCGATGAGATATATTTAAAAAAAACTGCATGCGCCTGCCTTATAATCAATTGGTTTGGAAAATAAAATAAAATTAATGCTGTTTCGCTTCCTTTGTACATATATAATTGATAATGAAACTATTTTTTTTCAATCTATGATAAGAGATTTACGAAATAATGTAAAAGTTGAACCATTTTATTGTTGTGTTAGTATTAATGATATCAGACTACCTTTATCTAAAAAAAAAAAAATGTATTACTTCTTACAAATAAGCTTTGTTGAATTTATTGAATTACAATATAACATTGATATTATGATTCGTGTAATTTTTCATAAATTAATCGACTTACTGTTTTAATTTCGGTACTAGAGGCATGTTCTTGGCGATCTGACAGTACAAGATGTTTCCCAGGGCAGTGTACAAATGAAACAGAAGAAACATGTTCTTGTACATCTGGTTTTGGAGGAAGTCAGTGCGACACAAGTATGATATTATTACAATTTTAACCATTTTAATTATATATTTCGATTTAAATATTCGATCAATATAATGCAGGCATTATATTTTTTATATGTTTTAAATAAATAGCATTGCGTCAACAATAGGAGATTCTTTTAAGATACCTCATATGAAAAGGGAAAGTTGTCTCTTTAAACAAATAGATGAGGTTTGGAGATTGAAACGTATTCCATAACTCAAATAATAGATGGAATTTTATCACCAGAGCAGTAATCAGTGTTCCAGTGTTATCATGAAATATTATTTACTCGATCCAGTAAACTTATTGTTAATAAAACGTTAAAACAATCAAAATGCTTAGGGTTTCTACCCCAATACAAAGATTAAGACTAATTTGGCATAAAATTTGGAATAATTGATTTTTAATGCTCTATTAAACTTAATAAATCGGAAACCAATTTCGACTTTCCGATTGTTTTAATTGGAGACTAATGCAGACGAGATGCGCTTTTGTAATATCATATCATAAGCCTGAATCGTTCATGACCTCTTTATCAGTGGAGTTAGAATTGTCATGCACATCAAGAAGAAGATGTTATTTGTTCTCGAATCGTCCTGAACTATGATAGATAAGTTTATAAAACATGATTCAACAAAAATATAATAAAATGTTGTCTGTGTGTTAGATTTCGAAGAGGTCGACATTTACCCTCAATACAGAAATGTAAAGGGAAACGTATCTCTTAATATTTACTAGTGTAATTGAATATATTTAGCTCAGTTAGAATGCTGTCTGTGAACTACCGCATTCACACTTTGACCGAGTAAAATATGCAGTTAAAAGTAATTACCCTCGACACATTTTCTAACGTATTACTTTAAAAGAAATCATAGTAAAATACAATCTAGTCCCCATCTTTCAGAGCACAAGGATCGCCACTCATATCAGTGCCTACGACAACTAGTCAATTTTGATGCTTAAAAATATATTCGTTTAATTGGCGAACAATTCAGTACTTATTAAGCATACGAATAAAAGTAAACGTTATGCATACGCCAATAAGACCACAATATGAACTTTAGTTGAACACAATACTTTTTATCAAATAGTTTTACATGTAGAACATTATATCTGCATTTGCAAATTTAAATGTTTTCTTTCACTACCTAATCTTAAACTTAATTCATTTATTTTTTTAGCATAGAATTTTTATTAATTGTAAACCATAAGTTTAAAAATATTTGTTATTAAATACATAAGTTTATAAAAAGTGATCATTTTTGTAGTCACAGAAAAAACAACGATTCTTTATGCGGAAATAAAACTTCACAACCCGTCACATAAAACTGTCACAACACCACTGGATCCTAGTGACACGGGACCACAACCCGTTAGATTTACGAACAAGAACGACCTGAATGCCACGGAAATTGAATTTCGGGGAAAGTTTTTAGCTTCCGGAATACCACCTCCACACGACCCTACTGGGGAAACTCACTTTGTGACAGATTTTGACTATGGTATTGTATATGGACAAATGAAACTTGAATATATAATAGGTAAACATAAAGTTTGTATGGAATAATTCAGTCAATTGGTTGATATTCTATTTGTATGGAAATGCAACAAGTTATTCCCGGATAAAATAATTTTATTTTAATTTTAGAAAGAGCAATTTCACTCATTTGTTGAAACTTTAAGCAAAAAGTATACAAATCAAATAAGGATTTCTGGTGTTTTAGTATCACTAGAAGCGTTATATCTGCCAAAATGTTAAAAAAGAAAATGCTTGTCGCAGAAATAAAGAGAAAAACAACTATTACATGTAAAATAGGTTTTATATAATGGAATTGTTCATGGCAGGAAAGGGGTAACCACTAGTTTCTATTATTTCGTGGATTTAAATTACAGGCTCGAATACCAGTACCCACACATTCAGCTGTCCTGCAACGGTGGATAACCCAATTAAAACAAATTACATATGTTCAAGAACACACACCAAAGGCAGTGCTGTATCACTTCCGACATTCGGTCACAGTGATAAGTAAGTCATTTTTTTCTTTTAAATATTAAGAAAACTGTTGTACGATAGTCCACTGAACTATAAGTGTTTTCGTCCTGACTTTGACAGTTAGATAAAAACATGTAAAATAAATACAATGTGTTACACAGTTGGCGTAAATGGTAATCTAACTGCTATATACAGATTAGGACTCCAGTAAGACAGTAATGTTAGCTGTACAGGCTGAAAAAGAATTCACTAACTTGGATTACGTTACATACTTTTTTCTCAATCTCGTGAGTTTTTACAATTTTTTGGAAAAATTTCAAAGAAAATTTGTACAGACATGTTTAGGTATTTTCTGAATATTTTTATTTTGTATTCCGGCTTTTTGTGTTATTTGGTATTTGTAATTTATTTTGTTTTTGCTTTGTTTTTGTTTTGTTTTCGTTCTTTTGATTGACAAGTTCGGCTATGCTAACTTATACGTAGGTCTTGTCTTTCTGAACATTTAACAGCTTGCAGGTTTTTTTTTTCAAATCTACAAAAGTTTTCGCCAAAAAAGCTAAAAATGGGGAAATTGTGAAGTAGATGTATTATTCCAACGTTAAGGTTTATCATACGGAGCGAACGAGATCTTACAAATCTTGGACGTATCGTTCACGAGAGGAAAGAAAACACACAATTAAAATAGTACGACTTTACAGAGCACAAAGAAAAATGAAAAGGTATACATGACTTCAACACAAAGGCAGATATGAGTTGGAAGAAACTATGTCAAAAGGAAAGATGTATAAAAACTTTTCGGACAAATTCTTCCCTATAGTTTTTTAATGCATTGCTTTTTTTTAATTATTAGAAAGCTAGAACCTCTGCTTTATTAAAAAAAATGAGAAATCGTGCTTGATGGGTCGATTCAAAAGTCTTTGGTATCATAATATGAATTGTGTTCAAAAGTTCCAAAAATATTTTGTATGTTTTTTTAAGCATTGCCAAATTTATAAACTGTAAATTCAGAAATTTTTACATTCATTTATTATTTTGATTTTTGAAGAATGGACATACATGCGAGATTATTTTTGCGATTTTAGCAAAGCTGCATACAGATATATGAGTCAGATATCAGAATCCGAGTTCTTATTATTTTGATACGCAAACAATTGCATTATTCGTATTTATAAAAACCTCGCAAAAATTTCTGAATTTACAGTATATATTTCTTTTTGTTTTCACTCATTCAGCAATGTTTTCTTTTACAGATTAGTATTTACAATCGATGCTAGAAACGGTGGTTTCTTGAAGTATATTAACAGAGAGACATCCTCGACAATTAAATCGTATCTTTCAGGGCAGACTACAACTATAAGTTACACAGTGCAATGGGATTATGTAGTCCCATATTATTCTTGTGTTCAGCTACATGGAACCGGTTGTACTGTTTCACCAATAGAAATACAAGATGTAACTGATCAGGTAAAAAATGACTTCAATTTTTTTAAAAGTATTTGCAATAACTTGAACTTTGCTTTAAACTAGGTATGACATTTTAGCGGATCTTGACTGTTGGAAATATGAAAATAGATTATAGTAGAATGTTTTATAACCATTTGATTTACAGTTAAGATACAATCTTGGTTACATTTAGAAATGGCGAGTAACATAAGGTATGAAATGTGGTTGATTCTTAAATATTAAGCCAAAATTGATAAGTCTAGCCCAGAGCCAATCCAGTTTTAAAGAATTAGTCAAATAACTATATCAAAGTAATACAATATATTTTAGAGCATTGTTACGTTTTCATGGAAACAGTGGAATGATGATTTGGCCGGATTAGATGGATACGAGTATGAAGTATTTCATTTACAACCTAATGGTGACGTTCTAATGGAAGGAGACAAATTAACTTCGTCCAATAGAACTTTGCCATCTGTATCAGAGGTAAGAATAAAGTGATTTACCTTTTAAATATTCCCTGTATTGTCACATTTTTGCTTTTGATATATGGAACCGGTTAAATCGCGTTTTTGTATTTTAGGTAACATTCTTTGACAAATCACCTAATAAAACAAATTAACCGCACCACTTTTAAGAAAATTAGGGCTCAAAATTGGAAGTTTTGTTTTATTGGCAAATGGAAAATTATATTTGCCTAATTTGGCACTTTCTTTTAATGATATTCGCGATGAAAAATAATATTTGTTTTATTTTGAAGCCCTGTAGAATGGATAAATTCATAAAAATACAATCAAATGCGAGCGGTGTTTTTCACTGCATTGATCGATGGAATGAAACGACATGAATGAATTATTTGTATTTTGCTTAATTTCGAATATCACTTAAAGCATTTCATCTGAATGCAGTTATTTGAAGGTAATGGTGGCATACAGCTGAATCATCGTTGACATCTATATATGCCACCACAGTAGGCGATTACTATGCAAGAGTATCCTTTCAGTACTTTTTGCGATCACTTTGCACGCTAATTTTTTTACTTTAGGATGTTTTTTTTCAATAATAGTCAAATTATCAGAAATTTGTGAATCATATTACTTTCAATCAAAATGTGAATAAACAAGAAGCAAATGCCGTACAAATACTAATTTCAGAGTGACTTAAATGTGACAACACCAGGAATGTATTCCATTATTCTGACCGCTTATGATAAAGCCGGAAACTATAAATCTACTAGATCTTTATTTTTCTTTGACGACAATTCACTTGTGGAAACAACATCTGGTACCAGAATGATAGTCACCGAAAGTACTTTGGAAACAAATTATGAATGGGTAACTACGGAATCCAGTTTACTACATGTCACGTGGCCTGGACGATTTATAAATGAAAGACATGATATTTATAAATGGCTTCATAAAATAGAAAGCAATGGTCATGTTGATAGTACTTACGATGATAAATTTGGAAGACGTACTGTAGATTGGTTTACAAATATTAGAGGTACATATACATTTGTATTTCAGGTTATTAAAAAGTAAAACAACAAAAATATCGAACTCCGAGGAAAATTCTAAATGGAAAGTCCCTAAGCAAATGGCAAAATCAAAAGATCAAACACATCAAACGAATGTATAACAAATGTCATATTCCTGACTTGGTACAGGAATTTTCTTATGTAGAAATGGTGGATTAAACCTGGTTTTATAGCTAGCTAAACCTCTCACTTGTATGAAAGTCGTATAAAATTCCATTATATTGACAACGATATGTGAACAAAACAGACAGACATAATAGGTAAAAATGTCAAAGATAGGGGTACAGCAGTCAACATTGTGTTATAATCTTAATCACTATAAAAAACAAACAAATATGTCAACAAAGAAAAACAAAAAGGCATATACACAAAGCACATTAGGAAAAACAAGACAAGAATACCAAAAATTTACCATAGCACTATAACACAATGACGGGATGTACAAGAGCGGAGCCACGTCAAATGGACATTACCAAAAAACAGACTAAACAGTAAAAGTAATAATTTACAACGACAAATAAAAGAATACTGTAACACGTTATTTAGATGATAAACAACGTCAGTACCTAGAATCTATACTTCAACACTATCGTGTAATAAAAATGTTTCGAACTAAACAGTAATGCATTTAGCAAATATTGTTTCAGTCATGCTAAATATATATTTTTAATGTTAAGAGACAAATATTAATAATACATCATTATATTATTTTTATCTAGTATAAGTAAAAAAGGCCATGTAATAAATTATCGATTTTGTCAAAAAAAAATATCATAACATTTTGTTAAATGAGTTATGAAGTTTCTCTTTCAATTTTTATCAGTTTTCTCTAGAGAATCAAAAATTACAAAATTAAGTTTTTAAGTTAGTTCTATTCCTTGTTTTCAAAAATCCAGGATATAAGGTTTTTAGAATTTTATTTTATGCCTCGTTCACACGTACATTTAATTCGAATTGAATTCGAATCGAATGCGAATCGAATTCGCTAATCGCGTTCACACACTCTTCTTTTTTAATTCGAATTGATTCGAATTGGCTAAATCGCATTATCCAGTTCGCATTAGAAATGTGTTTTTGTTAATACGAATTAAAAGTTAACATCGTTCGGACAGTAAAGAGAATTTGACGCGCAGTGCAATTCGAATTAGAATTTACGTTTGGACGTAAAACGTTTCGAATGCGAATTAAACTAATTCGAATTAGTTAATGCGAATCGAATTCGAATTACGTGTGAACGCAGCATTAAATTCGTGACCGCCATATACCTTCTTGCGACAACCATGTGAACTTCGAAGAACATGTGTTCACTTACAAACTCGTGTTGTTGTTTCTTTTTGGGGTAGGTGTCGTCAAGTTTGATATCAACTTTACAGTGACTGGACCCGATGTTAAATCGTTCCAAGGTTATACAGATGTACCAGACATCCTACAGGAATCTGAGATTTTGTACGTCACGTGGGAAGATGGACAAAAACTGGACATTAGCGTAAAAGCTACTGACATTATTGGGGAATACACAGAAGATACAATAACAATTTATAAAGACATTTCCAATCCGGAACTAGAAAACCTTTGGTTATCCTATGGCAACAAAACAGAATTATTTGTTCATCGCTTAGAAGACCTATCTTTAATGACGTACGTGTTGATTATATTTTTTTTTAATCTTTTAATATCTGATTGATATTCTGTAAAACATAAATGCATGATAGCATGATCTTAAAATGATATTGAGCTATTACATTAAACGCTTATGAGATCCTCTTTACAAAATATAACAACAACCATTTTATTTTTTGTTAAAGGTTCGAATGGGATACATATGATTATCATAGTGGTATATACAGTGTACACTGGAAGATGTTTGATAATTACACGGGATCTGACGTACTCCATGGAAGTTCACATGTAACGGCACAAGGAGATGCTTCCGTAATATCAATAAGTCATCTTATTTCCTGTTTCAATCAATCTTATATGTCTTTGCTCGATTTTCATTTAGGGTCAAGGTACAGTAAATGGACTATGTCACAGATTTTGCAAAAATTTTGCATACAACTTTGGCTGGTTAAACTTTAACTGAAAATCGAAAAATAATGCATTTATCTCTATTATTATCTGAAATATAACTGATTAAAATTCTCTCAAAATAGGTGAATATATCTGTGGCATAGCTCATTTACTGTAACTTAACTGTAATAATGCACAGATATTAATGTTTTGCAACGCAACAGAATCATGTTCTCAGTGTATATATCATCCGAATTCTAAATTGTAATAACAAGCATGACGATTGAGTGTTAACATTTTTCCATACGTAATATACTATTCTTTGAAAATAAGGATATTCTTTGATATTTGATAGTTATTTTTTTAAAGTTTGAATTGGGTGATGTTTTGCTTTTCTTCCTAAATTATATAAATGAAAAAACGAGAATTAATAAGGGGTAGTCAAACTACTTCGAATAGCGAGAAACATTATCATACAAAAAAAGAAAAAAAAAAACCAAACAGAAGACAAAACTGTCATCCAAACACTATACATATAACTATAGATTTAGTGACACAAACCCCGATAAAAACAACATGAATTCAGTTACTCCTCATGAAATTCCCTCAGGAAAAATTGTCCATTGAACATTTTTTTGTATTCTGTTGTAAGACTGGACATTTTTTTTTTTTTTTGGCTAAATGCTTTATTTATTTTTTCCTTTCTTAACTTTTGGTCGCGATTTATTTGTTTTTACGTGATGAATTTAAGTCGAAACCATGGACTGTACGCACAAAAATAGAAATTGTATTTTATTTTTTTACAAAGTGAAACAGACGAAAGACAAACCAAAAGTCATTTAATTAAAATAATATAATTACATTCATCTAAATATATCTTCCAGCAAATACATTGATTCTTTCATGTTCTATTTTTCAACATGGAAATAATACTGGAAATAATGAAAATTATAATCGTCATGATTTTTTTTTCAGAATATGACTTCTTGTGAAGACAAATATCAGAACTCTCCTGGTGGACCCGATTGTTATTGTACCATATATCATGGATGTTTCCACCGACATTTTCATGTTAAACCGGAAATAGTAATCGGAGCTGGTTTAACTCCCGGGAAAGATAAGGGTGTTCATGACTCGGACTATTTCATAGAAATTACAGTTGTCAATAAAGCCATGCTTACATCAGTTCTAACGAAAAAGGTAAAGTAAAATATATAAATCAATCTAATAAAATAAATCAATCACAATTACACAATGTTCTTCATATGTAATTGATACTCTATTAAGATTAAGAGACTACCTTTAAAACAGCACAAACCATCTGCAATTTACATTGCAATATTAAAAGAAATAGAAAAAAGAGAGATAACTATGAAAGAGACAGGGGTTAATATGTTAATATACTTTTAATATACCCCCTCGCATTTTTGCGTCTGTCCCAAGTCAGGAACCTCTGGCCTTTGTTAGTCTAGTATGTTTTTTAATTTTAGTTCATTTATATGTTTTGGAGTTTGGTGTGGCGTCTATTTTCATTGAACAGGTACACATTAGGGGCCAGCTGAAGCCCGCCTCCGGGTGCGATATTTTCTCGCTGTGTTGAAGACCCATTGGTGGCTTTCGGCTGTTTTCTGTTCTTTGGTCGGGTTGTCTCTTTGACACATTCCCCATTTCCATTATCAATTTTAATATGTTATCACATTGGAAAATACAGGGAGTCGTACCGACAATGATATAATCTGTATTGCCTTACTTGTCTGTTCAATTCCAGGAAAAAAAATAAAATGTCTAAGTATGTAAGACCTGCATATAAGTGGATAAAAATACTCTTAATTGTCTTCACATTGTTGCTTTTCTTTTGTTTCCAGAATATTTTTTCCATCAACTGCCTTTAAATTGATATATCCTAATCAATGTTTTATGTTATTGCAGATAACTATTGACATAAGCCCACCACAAACAGGGACTGTTCATGATGGATTGCCAGGTAGTCCGGAAGTTGATTATCAACAGGAATTATACCTGAATTTCCATTGGGATGGATTCTTTGATCCAGAAAGTGGAGTAAAATATTACAAATATATCGTATCTGATCATTGTTGGTCAAAAGAAGTCTTATTTCACAGCAATGAGGTAAACATGTTAAGTGCCAATCAAACCACATCTGTTTGTTTCAAATTTTGTAAATAAACAAGTAAAAATGTCACATATATATTATCATTAATTTTAGCTATTTAACTGTATACTTAGTTACGTTATTTACGAACACATCGCATATTCAAGAATTTCAATAAAATACAGACTTTCGTAATTTTACGAATGAACCTTGCGAGACCTGTTATTGCCAACCTATGGATTTTGTTAAATACGTCGTCCAATTTTGAACTAAATATGAAAATATAAAGAAATTTTCAGGTGATGAAAAATTACAGAAATCATATATTTATGTTTATTACGTGGCTTTACTGAACCCATTCTAAATATTTACTTCCATAAGATCACGTATGTATATGTTACATAAACACCGAAAATTTACGGCATTATTAAAATGTCTGTCAAATTCAAAAAGATAATAAACTGGTATTAATGGAGGTATTTTAAAAGATGCGTGGATAAATTCAAGGCATTTCACAAATCCCTCAAATTATTACACAATAAGAAATGCTATACAATAGTCATATTTAAGTTTTTAGGTTTTAGGTCGGGATCTCCTAATTTGACAACATAAAATTTCTTTTTTCTGTTTCATTTTATTTCATTGAATGACAGGTGTTCTATTTGTATTGCTTTTTATAGGGGATAGAGACATATGAAACAATTACAAATTACGTCGCCAAAAAAGAGGGAAAATATCACGTGACGGTTATAGCTGTCAACAGTGCGAACGAAGCATCAGATTCTATTTGTTCTGATGGTGTTACAATAATGACAGACACACCAGCTGCCACAAATTTTGTTTTAGATGGGGCTAGGATAGGTCCTATTCTTGTCAAAGACACCAGCAATACACTGTGGATTATTGGAAAACATCTTTCCAGGATAGAAGTGAACGATACTTCTCTTTGCAGGTATGCTATTAATGCACCAGCGATTTGTTCCAGTTGAGTTTTGTTGTTAATTGACGATATTTCTATATTTGTAGTCAGAATCTAATACATTTTTATATCCTAAAAATTAATAAAAAAAATACCAGGCATATAAATATACATCAGAGTCATCAGTGTCGCTCGAATCAAAATAGTTGAAAGGCCAAATCAAATACGAATTTAAAGAACATTGAAAATAAAACAAAATCGGAAAGTTGTGCAAAATACGTCTAAGGCAGTCTATGTCCGGGGTAGAAATACATAAGTGTTTCGAGTAATTTAAAATTCTTTAACCTCAAAATTTACAGAAAATGAATATGTCATTGATATTTCATTACACCGCAAAAGTGCTGACTACTAGGCTGGTGTCGAAGAGCAAGGCAGTGACCCAGTGGTTGTATATATTTGTCAAAGATACTAGGCTTATAATTTGCAACTCCAGACGCGCGTTTTGTGTACGCAAGACTCATCAGTGGCGCTCGAATCAAAACAGCTAGGAGGCAAAATCAAATACGAAGTAGAAATGATTTTATACTAAAAAAATCTGAAAAGTTGTGTCAAATACGGCTCCATGTATGCCTTGGAGAAAAAACCTAAATAAAGGCAACAGTAGTATACAGCTGTTCAAAAGTCATAAATCGAATAAGTGAAAACAAATCCGGGTTACAAACTAAAACCGACAGAAACCCATCAACTTTAAGAGTAAGACAACGGAACAAAAGAAACACTGAACTGCAACAAAAACAAACGCCAACATACATAGAAAAGGACTATTTGATAACAACTGCCATATTCCTGACTTGGTACAGGACATTTTAAGAAAAAATGGTAGGTTGAACCTGGTTTTATAGCTAGCCAAACCTTCCGCTTATATGACAATGTTAAAAAATATCGCTAAAATGACAAAACTACGTGACAGGAATACACTACAAACAAACGCAAGAACACTCACTAAAGAGTGAAAATGTATTATAATTACATTAACGGTAAGAATTTTACCGCACGATAATATCTCTTCAGTGATACATAATCACAAAATAAAGGCAAATGGAATACATAAAACTAACTTTGAAGAGTTGATAAAACCAAAAAAGCCAAAACCAAATGGACATGGAATGTAAAAAAAACATTTTATATTTTGTATGATGATAATTAAAATGAAGTTTGATATCAAAAATTAAAGAACCATTTTAAAACAATGCATTTGTTTTAAGCCACATCACTTCAATAACTGAGGATATTCAATTGTTACCAAAAGCAGATGAGATAGATATAGATTGTTCAAACTTACCGCCAGTATCTTCACCGTTTATATCAGTTCTATCAGGAACATCACAGGTGAGTAGTTATTTTTATAAACTATTCATGTTTATATTGGAACAAACGATAATTTGAAAATATAAACATGGAAAACCTCTAAAAATTCTCTTCCAGACTATTATGTATTTCAGGGTTGTACAGAACGAGAATAAAATTCACTATTCTTAATTGTGCTTCACAGACATTTGCATATTATATTTTAGGCGTTTGACTTAAATAACATTATTAATTTCGTGCACCCAAAGCGCTTTCTTAATTAGACGTCATCAGGAACGCTCAAACCATAACATTTGAAAGCCAGGGATGTAGAAAACCTGAACACATGTAGAGCTATATGACCAATAAGGGCCAAAAAAAGCCGAATTCAAATAAGGTTAACTTTGCCACTGGGAGTTACTAGATATGAATAAAATGAGAAGGTTGGGTATGTGTTTAATAAATACGGTTCGTCTTACCTAAAACAATATGAGTGAATAAATGTAAAAACTGTACATACACATGAATGAAATATTTGAATCATGTAAGTCTACTTGGTTATCAATAATAATATCTGAAAGGGAAACATTATTTGTTGATTTAGATCTTGCTTGCAACTTTTTTTTAAAATAACCGGGATGGTATGAACACAAAACGATGTAAAATACTATTCGTTGAAAGGGTGTGCATTTCGTGCGTAGCATGGATCACTGGTTCCATGGTTCGAAAGTGACATTTAATAGTAAGTGTATTGATCATGAACACGAAAAAAACGTTAACAAAGTGAATGATTTAATCTGTAATTGTTCACACCTCACCATTCCGGAGCACTTGATATGACACACGGTTATTCACTGGGGTTCGTGCTGCAAATGTTTGTTAGATATTTTATGTTGCGTGAGTAGACTGTTTTTTGTCTGTTCGTCACTTTTCGTGTTTGCCATTAATTTCAATTAAAAATTTGTCCAACTGTTAAAAACATTTGAAAATTAGAAATCTCCTATTTCTGGTGATTAAATTACTTTTTTGAGAGAGATAACAGTAGACTCTGTACAATTGACGTACCATATTTGACCCATCAGCCCTCAAACAAAACGTTTATGTAATTTGTTTTCGTAATCATTTATCATTAAGATATCTTAATTATTTTTTTAAGTTAAGCATGAAATGGGATTCAAATATGGACGAAATATTTGTTCACGACTACCATATAGGACTATCATCTACAAAAAACAATCCTGCTCCTGATATTTTATCGTTCCGCTCAACCAAACACCACAAACATTTCAGACTTAATTATCCAGACCTTACTGAAGGGATATTGTTTTACATCATCATAAAATCTACAAGTAAAGCCAATGTTGATGGTATTCAGGTAAATATATTATATTGATAAGAGGAATGTTTACTTTTTAAACATAATTCATTTTCACCGATATGACTATTCTTGTATGAACATTTAGTTGTGTATTTGCTATGGATGCTTTTTCGGTGAAGAATTTCTAATCGAGTACTCGTCGGTTTTATCGAGCAATACTCGAACACTTGCTCGAAAAAATATCTACAAAATGGTAACACAGTTTCACACAGTCTACGTATTATGGGTCGTTGTCTTATGAACGCTTCTTTTTTTTACAGAATTATCTGAAACTAGATACAAGTCGCAAACATTATATACTGTAAATTAATCAATAGCTAGTTTAATACAATTAATTATTAAGTAAACAATAAGCTTATCAATACAAGTAAACACACATTCAATATAAATGATTACATAGTCAAACCAGATCAAACATCAGCTATATTTTTTAATCGTTAATACAATACATATAAAGGCGTGTTTATTAGAAGTCACTGATGCATTTAAAAAATCCATTTTATGAAATGAAAGTGACAATCTCCTGGCAAGAAACCTATTAGTTGAGTATAATTTGGGGATTTGGTACTCGGTACTACCGAGCTATAGTCTTTGAGATATCTTGTATTTTCATATTTTCTCTTTCGCAAATCTTGAAACTCAGGTTACCTAATACGAATGACCCAAAAAAAACTTTCATTACACGTCGCAGAAAAAGGACTGGAGATTTTTGACTAGCATGTTTATGACTTTGCGCAGAAATGTGGTGATTTAATTTACATGTAAACAAATATCTCATGAAATACGAACATGTTGCATATACACGCAGGAAAACATCATATCGTATTTCAAGACCATACAAAATTGGTCATCAGTATTCTACGAACTTCCTATATATATATGTTAAGGGTACAACATTGTTTTTAATTTAGAAACAAAATCTTTCTTATAATTCTGAATAACTTTGCCTGTTTTGATTGGTCTAGAGTTATGGTCCTGTTGTAATAGACGTTACAGCTCCAGTTTTTACTGGTTCACACATTGATATGGAGTTCAAAGATGGGTCACTTATTGCTAATTGGTCCAGGGCAGCATTTACAGATGGAGAGGATCCTCATCCTCTTAAATATCAGTTTGCACTAGGTTTGTATGAAATATTAAAGCAGTATTTTTGTTGCATACATATTTGTTATAAAAGTAAAATGGATCCTATAACCACCATGTTACATGCAATTCCTAGAAATTTAATGAAATATTACATATGGTATATGCTGATGGTGATAGAAAAAAAGAGGCGGAAATTACAAATTAGAAGTTCAAACCTAAGTGAAAATGACAACGCCATGGAAAAAACAACGATAAAAAACAGTATATAAAACACAAAAGTAATTCTAAAGACTGAGCATCAGGAGCCCACCAAAACTCGGACAGATCTCATGTGCTCTTATCTAACCCCCAAAACATCCCGAAATTTGTAAAAAAAAATAATTCTAGCTTGACCAAATGTGAAATTTTGAAACACGATTTGGAATCTATTTTAACCAGTCAATATATATATTTATGACTGTCAAAAGAAGTGTCAGAGTGTATCGCAACATAAAGTATCAAATGAGTAACAGTTTTTATACTGAATTTGAAGGCTCATCAACAATTTTCATTCCATTTCTGTACCTCATTCTTTATCGTATCACCCTGGAATGATGTTCAATTCCCAATTCACTGCTGGTACTTGATTTTTTTGGAAAATTGAAGAAATAACAGAATTTCAGGATTTCGACATGTGTATGTATTATTTAATTATTTGTTGAACTTATTATTTTACATCATGTTTAAGTAATGAAGATCGAAACGAAAATAAAATTCAACTTGTTCTTTGAAAATATTACCAGACAATAATGTGCGGATGTAAGACGAGACTTGTTTTGATGTTAGTTGGTGTAAGGAAACTATATAACAATTTAAGCATGAAAGCACCACATTTTAATTTCATAGTGAGTTCGTAGAAATTCACACATTTTGATACAATGGGTTAGTGACCATCGTTCAAAATTGCAAGCTTTGTAACCACATTTCTAGGATTTAAACTACAACATATCTCCTTATGTATCATACACTTATCCACAACATATTTTTGTTAGGTCATACTGCAGGTGGAACAGACGTTGTTTCTTATCGTTCACTACAGTACAATACCAAATGTATTAAGACAGAACCACCTCATTGCACAGCTATTGACACATCGTCACTGGACTGGTCATTACACGGACATCATAATTACTATGTCACCATTAAAGTTACAAATCTTGCTGAGTTGTCCACTACTCAGACATCAGTGGTTTATACACACGACATACAGTTACCGTCTGCTGGGATAGTGTATGACATAAATCCATACAATGTCAATGATAGTTCTCTAAAGGTAATAACTAAATGTGGGTCGATTCCCCTAATGAAGTCGACATTAGAAAACAAATAGAAACAAACATATATTTCATATTGTTTTCATCAAAATAAAAAATAAAGATGTTGGTTTTTTTTTAACTTTTCTGTTAATGATTGAAAGATGTTTGATGCGATGAGAATATTTATTTATTACATAGCTTTTATATAGCGCCTATCTAATAAACATAATACTCTAAGCGCTTAACATATAAAACTGAAGGAAAATATTATCACAATGCATACAATAATAGCAAATATATATATATATATGAACATAAGAATGAAACAGAAATTAAATAGAATAATGATGTAAATTAAAAGCATTGAAAGGGGAATTATATATCACAATGAATACCATAAAAACATATTAGAATATAACAGACAACCAAAATTAACTAAAATAATGATGAAAATTATAAGTATTTAATATACACAAGTAAAACCTATAAAAATTTGCATTTAAGGATTAATTCACTTAGCTAAGAGAAAATATAAGGTAAAAATTTAACCAGTAAAACACAGAGAAAAAATAATTAAAACAGTCTCTTAAATAAAAACTTTAAAACTAAAAATTAAAAATTTAAATAAAATAAAAATAAAAAGGCCCTATCATTTAAACTGTTAGAATAATAAATAAATATCACAGGTCTTACACATCACAGTACGCCAGTCTAAAAATATGTGTCTTTAAACCTTTTTTAAAACGAGGAAGCGATTGTTCTTTCCGTAAATGAATTGGTAGGTCATTCCACAATGTAGCTCCAGCTCGGTCGAATCGCCTTTCACCGTATGTTTTAGTGCGGACATCTCTTGGTTTCGTTATGAGTCCTTCATTTTCTGACCGAAGTGTTCTAATAGGAGCGTATGGTACAATCAGTTCTTCCAAATATTTAGGTGCTTTATCGTGTAATGCCTTAAAAACGTAAAGTAAAAGTTTAAAATGTGATCGGTATTGCACGGGGAGCCAATGCAGCTGCATCAGAACAGGTGTTATGGAGTCAAACTTCCTTTTTCTTGTGATAAGTCTAGCTGCTGTGTTTTGAACGCGTTGCAGTCTTGCTATAGTGGAAGAGTTTACATTATATAACAAAGCGTTCCCATAGTCTAATCTGGAGGTGACAAGAGAGCAGACTAGTGTCTTACACGCATTTTCAGTGATATATGATCTAATGTTTCCGATGGTTCGAATCTGGTGGTAACATGATTTTGAGACGGCTGTTACCTGCTGTTCCATACTCAAGGTCTTATCAAAGAACACTCCCAGATTCCTAACACAGTTCGCATCACTTAAAATAGTGCCATCGAAGGGTAGCTCATACTTTGATAACTGTTTAACTCGATGTTTCGGAGCAAAGACGATGTGCTCTGTTTTGTCCTGATTCAGTTTCAGCATATTTGAAGTCATCCAGTCGCATATCTCTGACAAACACGCTCTCAAACGGTCGGATAGATCGTCCCAATCACCTTCCGGTTTAATCACTTGATATGCCTGAGTGTCGTCGGCATACGAGTGGTATAGCATTTTATGTCGCCTGCATATTTCACCAACAGGTTTCGAGTACATGCAGTATAACTTTGGTCCTAGAACAGAGCCTTGAGGCACACCATATTGAAGACGTAGATCGTCAGATTGTTTGGTGCCAATGGCAACTCGCTGAGTTCTATCTTTCAAGTAAGACTCGATCCACGATAAGGCGCTATCAGAGACTCCGAAAGAATAGTTCAGACGTTCTAGTAAAATCTTGTGGTCAATAACATCAAATGCGGCTGAAAGATCGAGCATCAAGAGTACGACACAACTGTTTTTGTCCAGTGCAGAAACTATATCGTGGTGAACACGTAGAAGAGCTGTTTCTGTAGAATGACGAGCTCGGTATGCAGATTGCAGATTTTCGTGCAGATTATTCGATTCTATGTGGTGTTCAAGCCGAGATGAAACAACTTTTTCCAAGACCTTCGACAAAAACGGAAGGTTTGACACCGGACGGTAATTTTTAAACACATCACGATCTAGACTAGGTTTCTTCAACAATGGTCGAACGATAGCTTGCTTAAATGAAGATGGCACCAGTGATTCTGACAACGAGCAATTAACAATGTTTGTCATTGCCGGTAGAAGTTCGTTTGAACAAGATTTTAGTAAATAGGTAGGCATTGGATCTAGTTCACAGTGTTTTGATGGTGCAGATTGTATGATCTTCGTGAGTTCCGTAATGGTTGTTGGTTTGAATGATGATAAATGTTCACCGTTAAACTTTTCGTCTGATTTCATAATGTCGCACATAGTGATGGAGCTTTTATTAGATGCGCTTAAATTTGCCCGAATCGTTTCAATCTTGTTCATGAAAAACTGACAGAACTTGTTAGCAAGGTCTTTTTCATCTTTATGCGATGGTAAAATTGTTTCTTGCTTTTCTCCCATAATGCGTTTACTTAGTCGAAAGAGTTGTTTCTGATCGTGTTCAGCTTCTTCAACTTTGGTCGAATAGTGTTCTTTTTTACATCGGATAAGGAGTTTGTTCGCATGTACACAAGCATCCCGATGTATCTGCTGATGAACGGTCAAATTTGTTTTCCGCATGCGGCGTTCAGCTTTACGACAATTCCTTTTAGCGTCGCGGAGTTCTTCAGTGTGCCACTCGGTATTTGGTCGAAGTGTTATCTCCTTTGAGACTATCGGTGCATGTTTGTCAATAACCGATATCAGATTCGTATTGTAAAGACTAACCAAGCTATCGACAGGTTCTGTTGCATTTACAACAGGTGGAATCGATTCAACAAAGTCATTTTTGATATCGTCCAGATTGATGTCTCGATATTTGCGGTAAGTCACTGTTTGGCGATATTTCGACGGTCTTGAGATTCTTAGCTGAGCGAACAGTGCCATATGGTCACCAGCGGGATTACCTTTCTTGTCACATAAATACGGATCATGTACGACCGGCGTATTTTTTAGAATCGAACTGATTTCTCTTGTAATGATGACATCTAAGGTGTGTCCATGGATGTGAGTTGGACCATTTATATGTTGTTGAAGTCCATGATCCTCCAACGTTTCGATGAATTTACAAGCGTCACTATTGTTCTTGTCATCTAGGTGAAAATTTAAGTCGCCAGTTATTACAATTTCTTCTGGAATTATCACAAGTTGATCAAGAAATGTGGACCATTCCTCAAAGAAAGTTGACGTCTTTAGCTTGTTTATACGTGATGGTGGTGGGCGGTAAATTACACAAAGTCGAAAACGGTGATGTTTTGAAGAAACATTGCATTCTAACAGTTCAAAGTGTGAAAAAGAATGTTTGCTGGAAACAGGTTTTACTTCCAAGCTTTTGTTGAAGATAACGGCTACACCACCTCCTTTCCGACTGGTCCTTGCAACGTGATGAAGATCGTATCCATCTGGAGTAATTTCTGAAATAATGTGTTTATCAACTGAACTGCCGAGCCATGTCTCAGTCAGTGCAAAAATGTCAACGTTGTTTGATGTCAGAAAGTCACAGACAGACGTCGTTTTGTTTTTGACAGACCTTGTATTAAGCGTAACAAGTGACAAAGCGGTGTTAGAGCCGACATTCGACGTAGTTTGAATTTTTGATAGATTGGATGAGTTACATCTGTTCTCGTTTTTGACATTTTCACGCGATCGAACTAAGGATTCAATAGCACTAAAAGTATCTGGAACATTCTTGTTGATCGCAATTTGTACAAGATTTGTCCTGTCTACGAAACTTATTCGAACAGGCACTGAAGGTCTTTGTGTTGTTGTAATAGATCGTATCGGTCGAAACACATGCCTCCCTGCCTTTGTTCCGCGCCTAGTGCGGTGATTTAGTTTAACTATGGACGTACTGTAATATCTAAGATTACTGGTAGCTATAGATAGCCTATTGTTGATAAAGTTCAAATTCGAAGTAAAACATCAAATTTATAATATAGTTCAAACACAGATGTACCTTTGTGGGAGCTGCCAACAAGCGCTAACCACCAGTTTATATATTACTCACATGGAAGATGGAACAACCCACGTTTGCACGGAGATGGTGTTGAAAGTTGCTTGAGTAAATATCCGAACGCAGAAAATCTTTATGCAGGTCATAATTTAGGACGTTCTGGGTATCGTTGTTATTTATCAGAATACCGTCTATACTAGTTAAAGTTTTGTATGAAAGATGACAGACCTGTTCAACAGAATATATATATATCCGTTTTAAAACAATGTTTTGTTTATATCCAGTCCATTAAATGAATTTTAAAAGTTATTTACACTGTCGCTAACATAGCGAAGCTCTTCCGTTGCGTTCGAGTAATGCACCAAATACACCAAAACATAGATATTCAATATATAAGTTGGTGAGCTTGTTAAAACATGCTTTGTTAACTTCTAAACTTTTTTTTATTTCAATCCCCTAAAACTATAACTGTTTAACAATGTATTTCCTTTCATTTATCATGTTATGATTTTTTATATTCAGGACATTATTGACATTGATTTTTCTGTGAAGTTTGATTCTCTTGCTGCAGAATGGAAAGGATTTTACCATCCACACTTATCTTTACATTATAAAGTCTGTGTTGGAATGGTGAAAGGAAACTGTGATGTTGCTACAAAAAACAACATTGACAGTTCGACGCATCAACATGTATTTGAAAACTTACTGCTAACAAACTTTGAGGTATGATATCATTGCATTAAGACAATTGAAGTTAACCAGTTTTCAAATATAATTAATCGTTTATAAAGAATAATCAAGGTATGAAACAAGAAATAGAGATAATCGCATGACGTAAAGGTAAAGATTCCGGGTGCGTCGATACAGCAAGCGTCTCCAGCTATGCATGCATCTATTATGCGGGAACTTGGTCCCATCTTTGGAATCAGTAAATATTTTATGCGGGGAAAAAAATCAGATAATTAGTAAACTTAAAATAGTACGCATATGATTGATCAATGTTTCAGGACAAGGAACTATCATACTGATGCCATTCATTGTTTGAAATTATACTTTCTTAAACTCTATCATTGTGTTATTTGATTAATATTCAAGTGAACACACATTTTATTTCACACATATTTGTCAAAATCGGTCCGTAAATTACTGTTACCTGTCTTGCAGGTGGCAGCACAGTCATTCGTTAACTTTATCTACTTTTCTTCAAATATATTTCTTTTCAGTGTTTACATTTTTCATTATCTCTTTGGCTGAATAATTTCTTTTCTTGTCTCTATATTATAAGTTATCTGTGCTTTAGAGTGCAAGTTTACCACAAAAACAGCTTATTGTCTAGATTTCTCAACGTCACGTTTTATAGCTATGATCGAAAAAATTAAAAAAATTAGATTAACTATATTATTAACAAAAAGACGAAACTATTTATTTCTTACGTCACCTATTTTATCTCAAAACTTTAGCAATGCAATATAATTCAATTTTATTTATTTATTCATTTATTTATGTTAGTTTATATACTTTATTTTACTTTCATTTTCCAGCATTCAATTTTCCATCATTTAAGTTTTTTTTATCATTTATTAATTTTATATTAATCTGATTGCTTCAGGCAAATGACGATCTACATACTTTTGTTTTCAAATCTATAACTCTTACGTTTATTGTTCTTCCAACGATGTTAATTTATCTGATAGGCAAAGTGGTTTTCCATGTTCATATATTTATCTATTTTATCAGTTTTCACTCTATATGTAATTAATCAAATTACTAGGGAGTAAGCCCACATTTCTGATAGCTTGCTCGAACTCCAAATCTATCACGGCGTCATACCCATTTTTTGGTGTAAGCCCGTTTTCATTGGTAGTTTGCTCCGACTCCAAATTTATCGTGAATAATACCCTCAAAGTAACATGACTTAAATATTTGTTTTATCATTACAACTTTACTGATTCATTACTTATTTTTGGACAAGTTTTGACAAAGTGTATAATTACTTACTCTACAACAGTTTGATAACCTATTAAGTTTTTCAATTCATATCAAAATTAATCTTTAAGAGACTATTTATGAAGCTTTAGTCACGTTTTTATATGAGTTGCGAATCCATACATAGCACTAATGTTAAGGGTGTCGTGAATACCCCAAAAACTCCTATGACACAGACAACCTTTATTTCTCTTAAGTGGAAATTTACATATTAATTTGAACTCAATATTCAATAGCTATCGCTGCAGCACACAATGCAAACTTACATATTTATTTATTCTATTTATTTATACATCTACTATCTTTGTTCCTTGTGGAACTCCGTGTCTTATCATGGCATTGCCTTTTCTATGGACTGATGATCCACAAAAAGCTTCTTTTTTTTTATTCAAATTTGTAAACAACCAACTTTCCTATACAGATGTTTATTCTATGTACTTTTATCTTTTGTAAGTTAATAAGTTTGAGGCATTATGTTATGGTTCTCATATAAACAGAGGCATTTCTTTTAATCATTCACATTTAAATGAATATAAACCGCTTTATAACTTTAACTTCCAAACAATATTACATTTTAAATTTCTCCAATGTTCTATTTCGTTTTTTTTTTTTTCGTACACGAATCTTTGTACCTTAAATATTTATCAAACCCCATTACATTATTTGCCTTCTTTATTTTCTATCAAATTGATTTATTTATTTTATTTTACTTATTTTATTTTATTTATTTTATTTATTTTATTTTATTTATTTTATTTATTTTATTTATTTTATTTATTTTATTTATTTTATTTATTTTATTTATTTTATTTGCATTTTCCGTCGTTACATTCTTCAAAACGATTTTCTAAACCATATGAGCCTACAGATAATTACTTTCAGTGAAATTTAAGTTTAACAACTTTATTTTGCTGCTCAGTCCTCACTTAAACAAAAGGATTTTGCAAATCAACGAAATTTGCCCTTGAAGTAAAAGGAATTTGGACTTCACCTTAAAATTTACACTTACAACTTACGTTGTTTATTATAATTCATCTCACAAATTTCATAAATTTGTTTTTTTTAAGCATGTCTATTCTATTTTACATACCTATCCATTATTTAAAACAATTTAAAAACTTTTCTTTGCATACAAGTTACGATCAAAAGTGCCTTTCTCATTCGGATTTTGTTTTATGTACATATAAAGCCTATTTCCTGTTATATTGCGTTTCAAATAAAATGGGAAGTAATGGCAAGAATTTCGTTTAATATTGAATAAATTTTGATCCATTTTCTAAAGTATAATAACCAATTTGACGGGTTTCCCGAACCATTGCACATACGAGGTGTTATTATGTTGAAATAATTAAAATGTACATTACGTTGTTGTTCAGCCATGATGTTCTCTTGATTTAACTATGTTCTGTTTCTATAGTTGTCCTTCAGTTGACTGCAAGCTGTAGTTTGTCGAACTGTGCCGAAGTCCATCTTTTCATGTTGTTCATTGTTATAGGTACCGATGATTTTACCACTTCGTCTCCACCAAAATATATTATGCGGGAACTTGGTCCCGTCTTTGGAATCTGTAAATATATTATGCGGGAGCTTGGTCCCGTGTTTGGAATCTGTGTTGTTGTCTTTGTTTCATGTTACTACTAAATATTTGTTCGGGGAACTGCTCTCATTCATGTTACGTTATTTGGGAACTAGCTTGGACTCGGCATGACAACGGGACCTCAACGGACAATCCAGTCTGCTTACTACATTTTTATTCTGGTTCACAGTCTAATGAACCAAATAATTTTGCACGACTTTATATAGCAGAACTGGACCTAATTTTACACGTGAATATTTTGTTACTAAATACAATAGCTTTCTTTGATATCTGTTTTAATGAACAATGGAATATCTCGGATAAAGGAACAATTACTTGATCTTAATTGTTCAAGTCTATTACTTTCAAAAAGTATGTATAATTATCTTTATGCCTTCTAAGCTGACACATTTATCAGTTAGCTGGGGGACATTTTTTGAGACAACGCTATTAGATATGCTTAAAAAGATAAAACACTTACATTGATATTTTTAGGAAATTGTTCTATAAACAAATTAAACTTTCTGAAATTTTTTTTTATTTACGTCTATTCCTTGGTCAACTTATTTTATAATTCATTGATAAATATTCTCTTTAACTTCTGTGCATTTTTCCATTATCCAACAAAACTTTATTTATAATTTATTAGTAAATATTAATGTTAAATATTACGCATTTTTGCATCATTATACATCACCCATAATGCGAATGCAGATAAGACCATTATTCTGGTATGTAAAGATCTAAGACTAAATCGCTAGTGAGTTGAGACACAGACATATCGTATCGGTCAACTAATATCAGTTGTTCTTCCTTATAACTCTGTTGGACTAGTTTTTGTGTAAGTAGCACATCCCTTATAAGGAAGTCAGTGTGAACATGCACGAGCGTAACGCCATTCGATTGGGCAGAGGTATACTACTGAGAAATGGAAAGTTGAAATCATCATTTTGTCCTATATTCTAGTTTGAAGTCTTCCATCTGTGACAATTTTGAGGAAAAGAACAATATATGAAGCAGACCTTCTTGTTTTGTAGTATCTTTTTTCTCAAGTTTCTCAAGTTCGCTAGTGATGCAAGCACTCATTGAACTGTGAGTTTTTGATGAAGGTAAATCCAGAAAAGCGCTTTGGACGCATGAAATTATTAAACGTGTTGTTTTCAATTTTTTACATCACTGGGTCGATACCTCTGCTGGTGGACTATCAGTCCCCGAGGGTATCATCAGCTCAGTAGTCAGTACTTTGGTACTGACATGATTTATAACAAACCTTTCTAAAATTGTCTGTCGATAAATTTTGAAATTATAAAGAAACTAAGGTTTCAACACCCTCAGGAAAAGTTGACCTTAGACGAATTTGGCTATTTATTTTAGGTATTTTTGTCATATAGCTCTTCAACTGTTTCGGTACTTATACATCCCTCGAATTTCATATTTTGGCTTTGAGCGTTCCTGATGAAGGTAAATCCAGAAAAGCGCTTTGGACGCATGAAATTATTAAACGTGTTGTTTTCAATTTTTTGAGTGACAGTACATTATCAATATTTTTGAATAAACGAATTTTGCAAGCTGCTTTTTTTCTTTTTGTATTTGATTATGTTTTGTTTGCATTTTGCTTAAAAATCAAGTCGGTCAGTAGGCATGTTTGTCAAATAAAAAAAAAATATTCAGCCATGAATATATAAGTTTTGAAAAAAACCCTGATACCTCAAATGGTATAATCAGGATAACTTTAAGAATACACATTGTGATAGTGTATGTTTTTATCCATTAATTTTAAAAAGTAATACTGTGTAGGCAATTTATATATTTAACTGTTATATTTTCAAGGAGTTTTTATTTTATGATTTCTAGGGACAACCCGGTTTGCTAGGTTTTGTGTTTGCATTTTCTTGTCCCTGAATCTGATTATCCATAAAGAATTACTTATGTTAGGGATATTGGCAATAAATCTTCATCTTGAAAATATGCGAAAATTCTTTAAATATTATTTACTTTCAGAAATACTACGTAACCGTCGAAGCTGTTACCAAAACTGGTTCTATCAAGAAATCATCAGACGGAATTACCATTATCAACAATGCTACAGAACTATCGGGAGTAATCATTAATGATGGGTCTCTATGCGCAGGTGTTCTTTTCTTTCATAGTCTTGTTTAAAATTCCCCATCACAAATTTCTATCCCTAGGAATAAGTCACGAGCAAAGTAAGACTACAAACCCATTTCTGAGATGTTCGACAACGAACGAAATATTATTAACAATACTTTTGTTCCATGGAAATCGAAATTTGATATTATATTTAACTGATGGCATGGTTTGTGTTCGTACATATTTTGTATGAAAACATAAAATCTATTTTTATTCGCTGCAAAACAGGAGCAAAGTTCGTCGATCCTTGCTTTCATCATGTTTCTAAAACTTGTATATCTAAAATTTATCTTTTCCTTTATTGTACGAATAGCTATCTGCTTAAAAATATTTCAAAGTAATAGTTTAGTGTATATGTAGGGGTGAATCATTGATTTGTTTGTTGTTTGTGTATACCTAAGTGTACGATGGCGGATTTTCATTGAAAAGTTGATTGAAAATCTAGTATTTTCATTATTTGAAACATGGGTCGAATTTACTGTTGTTGCAATTATTTATAGAGACATATGTCCTTTTGATTACTTCAGAAGGGCTGAAACAAAAGAAATTCCCGATACTGACGTTATCCGTTCGATAAAAAAGAGATATTTGCAGCGCATATAGCTGCATCTAGCGTGAGATAAATATATCATTGAAATGTAATAGCTAAATAGTAAGTGTGCATTGTTATGGAATCTATTCAAATTTTCTCTCTAGAACTCTCCAAGAAAAATGACTACCTGAATCTTTTTCTCTTTTTCTCTCATGATTACACTTTAAACAACAGAGACAGAGATTGTATTCCTCAACTTTTAAATATTTTCATTATTCAATCATTGTATTCATGTTATACGTTTTCTTACTGTGATGAATATCTTTGAAAACTAAGCATGGCCATAAGTTTATAAATTATATTTAAGTTTTATTTACGGTATATGCTTTGTTGCAGACCCTGTTGTCTTAAATGGGAGTCATCATATACGGGTAAGTCTAAGACAGTTAATGATGTTTATTATGTAATTTCTAAAAAGAAATTTAAATAACAGGGAAGATGGAGAAGATACTCAAGAAAAGTAACACAAAAAACAGTCTTATGAAAACGGACAACACCATGCTAAATAACAGTAGTTTTATCAGATATTCAAATGTTATACATCCATCAAAAAGAAACAAATCAAGGTAAAAAATAAATAAAACACTAATAAAATCGCATGATCTCCAAAAGGAGCGCGACCGGGTACGTCGATAAGGTAAGCGTCTCATACATATCATGTATCACCGGCCATGGATTTCCACAACCATTCATTATAAAATTGTCACAATCGGGTATAGGATACTAGCAGTACGTTTATAGATAAGACGACTAATTGGGTATTTAAAGATGTAATACAGAGCAAACATGTCGCTTGTAAGTTGAGACATAAACACATCATATAGGACCACAAATCATTTATGGTGAACGTAATACTTATGTTGTATCAGTTTCAGTCGTTTCTCCTCATATTTCTGGTGGCGAAGATTTTGTGTAATTAGCACACCCAGGACCTTCTATTGAAGTCCGTTTAGTGTGAAAATGCACGACATTACGTATAAAGTGAGATATATTAATAATTGGGAAGTTGAAATCATCACGTTTGTCAAAGATCATTGAATAAAGACGTCCATCTATGTCAATACCGAGGCCAAGATCAAGATATTGGTAACATAATGATAAAAAGATCAAGATATTAAGCCAATACCGATGAAAAGACACGAAATGGTCGATAAAGCATTACATAGAACACGCGGAATTGAGATACGAACTACCACAACTAATTTGTTTTATTGAAAATTGGATGAAAAACTCACCAATAACGTTACTAGTCTATTTTGAATAATATTTTACATGTTTTACATTATTAATTATTTTTCACAGGATATTATTTATAGATGCGAAACCGATGTAGATTTCCAAACCTCGACTACAACTCTTTCAGCTAAGTGGGAAATTCTAGACGACAAACTAAAACAAATTGTTAGAAGTGCATATTGGAGCGTTGAACAACGATCTCCAGTTGGAGGTATTTATTTAATTTGTTGAGAGATAAATTATGGTATACTCTGTCAACATTTGAAATAAAGAGATAATTTATGAGAAAGCACAATGACTTATATTGTCCATTTACATTCCACTCCAAATTATTATATACATATTGGTAAAAGTGAGCGTCACTATATGTTTGTAGATATGTGGCTACAGTACAGAGACTTCAGTTATATAGGAAGCCAAAGTCATGTGATAGTGAATGAGTTAGATCTACAGCCTGGTTTGACATACAAATTTACGGTAAAACTGTGTGCTGACGATGTATGTTTCCAAGCGATCAGCAGCAATGGTGTAACCATTATACCGAGCTACCCTGTAACTGGTTCTATTGATGTGAAAATAGAAATTCAAAAGGTGATTATTTATATATAAAGAGGACTGTCTAAAGAAATGGCGATATCAAGGGCAAAAACGCAACAAACTGACAATTAGGAATAAGAAGGCAATGGGCAGGTGGCGATCAGCATTATCATCAAACTTTAAATTATTCAGTGAGAAAATATAGAAAAAAATGTTCTTGTGGTTCATTTATCTATTGCTGATATCTCTTGATTGAAAAATGACAAGTTCATTGAATTTTAAAATATTGACCAGAGCCTTTAAATCAATAGACCATATATTCAACATCTATCCACCAAAATTTAGAATAAATCACTTAAATAGGAATAGATTACATTTTGTAATTTGGGATTTTCATCCACTTGAAGTTATAAAAATACTTCTACACACAGATAATTCGATGATTTATGATAGTTTATACTGCATGTTTAGTAGCTTAAATGTCTACGAACTAAGAAATAATTCGTAGAAAGTAAAAATCATAGAACACTGGAATAATTTACTTTTGTCACAAAAATATAGACTGTTTTTGTCAAAAAGCAAAATTACCAATATTTAACCTCTAAAGACCAAAATGAAACTATAATATTTTGAAAATAAGTCACATTCTTCTTTGTTTCAAAAAAACAACAACAGTGGTTCTTAGTGTTATCGTTTCACTTTAAATACAACTGAGACTATATTTAACATTGTTATTTTAATTCGTTACTCTCGAGACATATACGTTTGTCTTCCTAGGATATCTCTGAGGCACTAAAAAAGTTTGAATAAAAAAAGATATGCACAGATACTTCAGTTTAAGGACCAACATATCAATGGACACTTACTTTAAAGACTGATTTGCAGCAACGATTTGAACCATCCTTACTATATATTTTTTCAGTCGTTTGTTTAAAACTGAAATATAGCTTTTATGTTTGGTACCTCAATTAGAACTTATTGTTGTTAAAGAAAAAGAGACTAATCATAGTTTGCATTGCACAAGGTCGTGCTTTTCTCGGACTGTGTATGGATTGATATGTGAGAACATGATATTTATATTGTACTTGACTTTGAACTAGCTTTCAGTAATTGCGTGTACTCTTAGATCGTTACTTTGTGACATTTTTTCTAAATGAAAGTTTTTGTGTGCCTTTTACCAATTAGTTAAGTCAAGCCATTTGAAATATATTTTTAGTTTGTTCTTGTACTGTTGTACTGCTACATTACTGTTCGTGGTACATGCCTGTCTCAAGCATAGAGCCTGTAATTCAATGGTTGTTGCTGCTTACTGTCTGTTATATGTGTTTTTGTTAATGTTTTGTCGCAAATCAGGCCGTTGGTTTTATCGGTTGAATAGTTTCACATTTTGCATTTGATAGCTGACTGTGATGTATAGGATTTGCTTATTGTTGAAGGCCGTTTGGTGACCCATAGTTGCTTACATTTTGACTCTGATGCATTGTTGTCAAATTGGAAATCATACCACATCTTCCTATTTTAAAACTGTCGAATTTTTGTGCAATATATATATTTATGAATGGTACAGCCTTGAAGTATTGCTTACGTTGATAATAATTTTCCATAAAAGCCTTGTTCACTGAACTTTTTACACATGTTGCCTCAAACGCAAGTGTAAATATTAAAATCGTGTCGTGCACATCGTGTATATATACGATGGGACATATATAACACGGGTTTAGTAGACTATTTAATCAATGGTATTTCAACCTAGATTTACAGCAGTAGTTTGATATTAATTTCAGCTCATAGTGACCATTACAGCTATGTATGACCCAGATATAGAAGACAGATCGGAAGCAATAGATGCAATGGAAATATATGAATGGGCTATATATGATGGTTCATATGGAGGCGGATTGTTTGAAAAGTGGACTGAAATAAACACCATTAAGAAAATAAACAACACTCATGTAAGCTAGATAAGCATAAAATTTTTGATTATTTAGTTTGTGAAAACTTTAGTTGTGAAAATTAAGTCATTTAAATTCGTCATTTCATGCTTATATTATTATTCACAGTTAAAATGCAAGCTTTCAAACAACTGCAACTGTATAAGAGTTAAAAATTAACATAGAAGTATAAGGATACATATCCTCATTTGCAAATTAACGCTCATATAAACTATAAAACTCATATGAATTCTTATTTGAACTTATTGTCGGGTTATCTCAAACAGTTGATTGAATTAACACCTTGATCAACTGAAATTTTTCATTATTAGGTTGAATTTGATATAACTCTGTCCGGCGAAATAGATTTTGCGAAGTGCAAGCGTTTATATATCAGAGGAGCTAACAAAGCTGGAGTTTGGTCTGTTGTGTCAACCGATTTAAAACAGTGTCATGTAGTTGACAGCCATAGTCAGATAAAAGCGAGAAAAGTAATCGACGCACTTGGCGAAGCAGGTATCTTTCTTTTAAAGGTTTAATCGTAAACAAACGTTGAAACTATAAAAAGGGCAAAAACAAAGGGACAATCAAAATGTGTGCCAATGAAATACCAACGAAACCTTAAAACAAAATGAAATAAAGAAGAGAAGACAAAGTGTCAGTCAACAAAACATTACTTAGAAAACTAAAGACTGATGAAAACGAACTCCACCATGAAACTGAGTGTATTCAAGTGCTCCGGAAGGAATAGCAGATTCTGCTCATCATGTAGCTCTAGTCGTATTGCTTATGATGGGCCGTACTAATGGTATGCATTTCTTTTTATATCGAAACGATTTTCTTTATAGTAATCATATTTACAATAATAATAAGTATGTTTAAGCTTAAAACAGTCTTGATATAGACAATTGAATTGCAAGGTTTCGTCTTAATTGTGTTCCAAAAACTTGCTCTTTGTTATTTTAAAATTTGGAGTTAATGTCAAATCTTAAATTTATTCCGAAACTTTATACACAAGGAATAATTTAGAGCTTTGCATATTGTACCTTATAAAAAATTCTATGTTGCCATTTAAAAATGTAGCCGTCTTTTTTTCTTAATTGTTTCGCTGAATGATCGTTATATTGACGTATAGTAGCATATTTTATTCACAAACATTGACGAAGATGTTCTGTAGAAACCAAGATAAGGATTAACTTTGAAATAATAATATCTTTCAAAAATTAGATGGTAATGAAGATGGTATCGGCGGTGATGTATTTCTTGAAGAAAACGCAGCTTGGATACCAACGGATGTAGACTATACGCCTTTCAAGAATGTTCTATCTGCTGTTTGGCCTTCACTTAGACATAAATCATATCAGTGGGGAGTTGTTGAAGTAAACAGTAACAATGCACAGACGTTCTATAAAGAATTCACAGATGTTGTGATTTCCGATCCGTGCTCTCATCCGAATACAGTACTATGTGGACAAACAGGTAATGTAATCGTTTTCGCATAAAATATAGCTTATTCAAGTATGTTGTCAAAAGATTCAATGTTTCTGATCATAGAATTGAGAATGAAAACAGGGAATGCGTCAAAGAGACAACAACCCGACCAAAGATCAGAAAACAGCCCAAGGACACCTATGGGTGTTCAACGCAGCGAGAAAATCCAGCACCCGGAGGCGGGCTACAGCTGGCCCCTAAACACGAATTAACGTTATTCTGTAAATTTGAGACAAAGAAATAACGTTATTACATTCGAGTTCAATGCTTGGATAGACAAATGACGGCTAGAAACAATACCCTTTTACAAGAAGTTATCATAATCTTATTATTGTCACTGTAAAGTGGACAACGATGTAACATGTAACGTCAAGTAACGATATCTTTATAACTCTCAGACTATTTTTGGTATATTGTCATTGGTATCAAATTGTCAAAAGTGTTTTCAGACGAATAAAAAATATTGAATGTTCTGATTGCAGTGCAATTTGAAAAAAACCTACATTGTATTACTTCAATTTGCCATTTATCATTATTGAACAGGGAAACTGTATAAAATAACATATCGAACAAATTGTAAAATACACTTCAATTCCATTACAGACAAAAACTACGCAAATATACATTTTAATGAAACTGAATATCTAACACATGGAAAACGGTATTCAGTATGTGTTTATGCACCCGAAACTATGATTGAACATGAAAAATGGAGAGAAACATTGGACACAGTAACATCATGTAGTGATGGTGTAACGGTTGACTTAACACCACCTGTACCCGGGAAAGTGTGGATTGGTCCTGATCCACTCATATTTTATCAGGTAAGTTTGCTCATATTCGTTCATACTGTAATAAAATTTACAGATTCCAGGTTGATGTTAAGGAATATATTATCAACTTCGTACCTTATTTGGCCTTTTTAACTTTTTTTTATTCGAGCGTCACTGATGAAGTCATCTGGCTACACAATTTTAAGCCTGGTATCTATAATCAGTTTATTTACATATATGGGGTAGAATCTGTTTACCCTTACAATCATCAATGGCAACTGAATTAAAACATTTGGAAAGCCAAGATAATTACGAAGTTGAATAGCATTCAAAACAAAATAACTCCAAAACGTTATGACAGTTCTGACAGAGGTAGATAGAGACAAACAAGCATATAAATCACAAATTAGTGATGGGTGTAACTATACTTATGTTCCTGCTTTGATTTTGATATCGTCCCATGGGAAAAGATTGATACGAAACTAATAATAATAGATATGAATTGACAAAATTCAGTAGAATTCGAATATACTAAGAACCAATTCAGTCCCTTAACACTCTATTTAATAGATAACATTGTTTTCTTAAAGACGTCTACATCAGATATCACTGTGAATTGGGATTCTTTTGTTGATGTCGAGGAAGAAAGACATGCCATGCACTCATCTGGAATCAAACAATACTTCATTTCAATTGGTAAGCCAGCTGATTAAGTAGAACATCGAAAAACTACTGTTGCCTTACTTTAAGTGAATAATTTGATACTAAATATAATTGTACCTCTTCATGCGTAATACAAAAATAATTGTTTCATTAAAAAAGGGAATTTCAAAATAGAAATCGTTAAATATCTTGTTGAAAATTCAATAAGATAATTTAATTTTAATAATTTTTCCAATAACATTTCCATGTTTGCCTTTGTTGTGATGAGTTTTGTTATAAAGAAACGCGTGTCTGGTGTACTAAATCATAAGCCTGGTATCTTTATAAGTATTTTGTCTGGCAATACAACACTATAATCTATCATATTTCTGATATTTTTTACCAAACCGAAACTGTTTTTATGCACTAGTTATAATTTTATTTAGGGTCACCTTGTGAAAAATTGCACTGAACAAGTTCTGTATTGCAATGATCAAAACTTTGTGGATTACATCCGAAAGTAATAAAATGTGACGAACAAATTTCTTTTTCAGAGTTGCATAGGTTTTTATTGATTATGTACAGTGCACTCTGGAAGTATTTTGAGAGAATATGATTGGAATAGATAAGGGCAATAGTAAGTGTTTAATACCATTTATCATTTATTTTTTCATAGGTTCTGTTGAAGATGGTGTGGATATTGTTGATAACCACAATGTTGGTTTGACTAACCATATGTCTTTCCATAATCTACAACTTCAGAACGGTCACAAATACTTTGTCACTGTAAAAGGTAATATCACATGATTATAAAAAAGGGTTTTATCATCCATGCAATTTTTGTTCAAATCTCTATGTAAACCCATGTAAAATAACTCTTCGGTGATGCTTGAGGGCAAAATATTTGATAAAACAAAACTTACTACAAAAGTTGAAGAGCTGATAAAACCAAAAGGACCAAAAGTAAAGCCAAACCCGTATAAGTAATCATAAAAAATAATAAGTAAATCATATTAAGTTACTCGAGTACCAATAAGTAAAAACTGAGTAATCAGAAAATATTCTTTAAATGTTTAAATTACTTAATTGGAAAACAGAACATTAAGCAACGCTTTATATTTCGTCCTTTTAAGATCTTTCCAAATGAAAAATGGTCTATTTGGTGAAAATCGTTGACCTCTTAGTGTGTTTTGCTGTTTTGTTGTTTCTTTCTTCTTTATAAGAAAATGTGACAACAGAGTCTTCTGTGTATTCATAGCACCCAGAAGTAAACGACAGGTTTCAGTTTTTCAAAAATTGACATGACCACGACTACCGCATTAGCTTTATATCGTTAGCACTTAAAACTGTAAATCGTCTTGGCAAAAATCAACATGTAAATTTTGGCAACAACACGAATTAGAATTTATATTCTGATAATTTTATATTGTTTTCATTCAAACTTTTCAAAACAAAAATATCTGAAAGTGATACAACATATTTAAATCGCTGTAGGGAGTTAATACAAGTTATTTTGAAAAATATAAAACAATAAGCATCTGCTACAATTTTGTTAACTTTCGACAACACATTCAGTTTTGCGTAAATATGAAATGATAGCTCCGTTCGGATACATACAACGAAATATTTCATACTGTTATAATGTTCATGTTATAGGGTGTCAAAGTAATAATGCCATAACACTGTTCTGTTGTTGTGTCTTTGATGTACCTTCTATTTTTGGGGTGGGTGGGGGAACCTCGGTGTGCCTTACGTCAAACTAACAAAATGCCGTACGTTAAGCTTACAGCTTATCAATAAATTGGCAAGGAATTTTATTCAGTACTGGTTCATAATCAGATTTTAAAATTTACTTTTATAGCATTTTATTCTTTTCCCAGAAAGATATGCATTGCATTAGGCTACTTAATGCTGAATCTTTAATCATTCATTAAAGGTCTTGACTTCATAAACCGAACTGCAGAAGTACGATCGTCTCCTATAACTGTTGATACAACACCACCAGAATTATCAGGAGAGTCAATTTCTATCAAGGGTAGACTGATATCAAATCTGACTGTAATACAGGCTTGGTAAATATCTTTATGTAGAACTTTTGTTTAAAGAAACAGTATGAAAATAATGAATATTTTTTTAGCACCAAAGTAAAATATTTTTTGTAGATTCGATCGTTAAAAATTGATAAGCAAATATTGAAATACTATAAAATGTTAAAATATAGAAATGGTAAGGATATTTTTTAACGGGATAACTTGTTTTTATTTGATAAATGTATGCATTTCCGTAGTGTAAACCACGAATCTTATTTTTCCTAAATATTAATTTGATTATAACAGTTGGGAAGACGTTTTTCTTGATGTTCAAAGTGGAATAGATTACTATACATGGGGAGTAGGTTCACTTAGTGGTCAAGATGATGTCATACCGTTTTCAGAAACTGAAGAAAATTGTGGTGTGTCCGCAGATGATGTAAATTTTGATTTAACAGAAGGCCATCCATATTTCATAACAATTAAGGTAAGAAACATGTATTTTTGTCAAAATAATAACATAAAAATTTGAAAAATAATCATTTTGATTTACCAATGTCCAGCAATTCAAATAAAATTAATACGGATTCAACGATTTGCCATATGAGGAAAATACCCGTCTTAAAATGTATATCTCTGAAAGCTGTTGTGTTTGATGTCAGACAATGTATTGTCCTTAAAGATCTAAATCTGTCTCAAACGGAAACAATTGCCAAAAGTTTGATACGGGGAATAAAAAAAAATAATTTATTGCGAGCATTACTTTTAATGCCATGATGTTTTCAAATTACAAAAAAAAACGAGCATTATCTTATTATACATCAGACGTCAGTATAGAAAATAATGCTCCTTCAACATGAGACTGTGAAACATTAAATTTTAAATATGATTCATGTGGCCATGTTAATACTGGCGACCTCAACATCGTTAAAAACTTTCTGAAAAATGACCAAAATATCGTCCGCCATTGAAAAGAAATTTGAAAGAGTGTCGTCTGCTCGTTAAAGACGCTCTTTCATCCTATTGGGAAATTTATTGTACACGGCAGAAACCTGATAAAAATATCTTCATTATTATTTGAACAGATGTATGAATATTGTGGATATTCGAATATATCATTTTGTAAATAATTTAGATATTAAAATATGGGTTATTAAACGCCCATTTCAAGAATAAGAAATAAATTTCCGGTACTCCTAAAGCGTATTTTGTTCGTACCAACCGAAAGAACAGCCAACAATGTGGTGGTGGTATGACGTATATACTACACGGAAGTATGAACTTATAAATTCTTCTACATTCAGGTCCGTGTGCTCCGAAGCGAAACAAATATTCAGCTATATCTTCAACACACTATATCTAAGCTTAAGGCCCCCCTCTGAACATTTGAATGTCCCTACTATGTAACATCTACCTAAACTACAAAAATAATGTCAAATATCGTTTCATCTTGGCTTCTCCTAAGTGTTTTACAGCTAATCTTTCAGTGCGTTTAACTAGTTCCCTAAATATTATCAACGGACTTATTTTTAATTTTTTTAATAAAGCATATGAACATCATGGACTTAATAATTTTGGAGTGTCAAAAACCAAACGGATGTTCTATATAAATTACATGCTTTTGAAAGTCCGTTCAATTCTGTAGACAGCTATGGCTTTTTGACACTAAATATTTAGGTCTGTTTTAGTTTTATCAGCTCTTCAACGTTTGTATAGGTTTTGGATTTTTTAATATTTGGCCTCGAGCATTACTGAAGAGACATTAATTGTCGAAATGCGCATCTGGTGCAGTAAAACCGCGTCATATAGCTCTTCAGCTGTTTCGGATCTTATACATCCTTGGCTTTCAAATATTCGGCTTTGTGCGTTCCTAATGAAGGTAATTCCACAAATGCGCTTCGGATGCATGAAATTTATAACGTGTTGTTTTCATTTTTTAAAGGCATTTAATCGAGCACATCTGTCCACTACTAAATCATCATGGGCCTATATATTTGATATGTCACCACCAAATGCCGGTCATGTCTATGATGGCAGTAACAATACACCGGAATCACCTACAAAAGATATAGATTACCAGATGGATATGACGCAACTATATGTTTACTGGGAAGGTTTTCATGATCCACATTCTGTAATCAAATATTACAGTGTCCATATTGGGACATGTTCTGGTTGTAATGATGTAAAGGCTGAACAAACTGTTGGAATAAATACAGGTATATTGTTCGTATTGAAATCAAAGAGTTAATATTGTCGGTTCATTCACTAATGCTAACAAAACAGATATAACAATTGTGAAATATATCCTAGTTAATTATGGAAAAACATGTTAATGAAAGTTCTTTTAAACTAAGTAAGATTACCTAAATCTCAAAACGATTTGACTCAATATACTGCACAACATAAAAATACACATTAATATTTATTTGTTTTATTATATTAAAAAGAAACCATGATCCATAATAAAAAGACAAACAACGCATTACAAATCAAAAGAAAATAAAATAAATATTGGGTAACATTAGCCCAACCAACCCAAACTATTGTTCTTTAAAACGTTGAGATAAAATTCATTTTTTTTCAAAAACACTCTGTTGAAAAGTAAAAGTTATGTATTCAAATAAGAATTATTTTGTATGTCTATATGTAATTTTACAAGTTGTTAAACCATTTTTCCTTCTTATTTTTTTTTTTAGATTTTAACGTCCAAAACCTTAATCTTCAGGCGGGTATCAAATACTTTTCCACTGTCACTGCATGTAACACTGGAAACCTATGTACATCTGCTACTACTGACGGTGTTATTATTGACAACAGTCAACCTGTCCAAGGTGTAGTACAAGATGGTGTATATGAGCATGATATTGAATACCAGTCGACAAGGTATTATTGTAAATCGAGTACCGTGATCATATTAAAATCACAGTTGGCCATGTTTGCCTTTCCATAGCCAGACAGTTCTTGCTTTCATAAACAGATTTATGTGTTATATAAAACATGATTTTACTTTAACATAATTGGAAAACAACAGTTATACTGATAGAATATCATTATAATAAAAAAAAAAAACATAACGATCTCGATCCTGATAAAAAAAAACAAGCATTCAAAAGAAGTGAAATATTATTGGCTTTTAAACTACAGATTAAGAAAGGATGCAATAACTTCCATATGAACTATTATAACATCTGTTTACAAATCTCCCAAAATACGAATAGCTAGCAGTTCATCCTATTATTATTTTTTTTTGCAGAAATTACCTGACAGCAAAATGGTTTGGATTTGTAGACTCTCAATCTGAAATTGATCACTTTGTTATTCGTGCTGGAACATCAAGAGGATCCGGTGATGTATATCCACCCACGATTTTGACTTCTTTCGATATGATTTTATTGACAGATTTACCTCACCAATTACCTCTTAATCATCGCATATACATAACAATACGTGCCTATAATAAAGCAGGTTTGTATATGAAAATAATACTTGGTATATTCGTGCGTCCGACGCTTCTGGAATGACCTTCATCAGGGGTTATAAATCAAATCAGTATTGAAGCACCGACTACTGATAGTTGATGAGCGTATAGCGATTATATACCTTTACGAAACATGAAGAAAAGGGATTGTGCACTCGTGAATGAGATATCCACTTTATAACACAATATGACTGGGACATCAAAATTTTGGCATAAATGAAAATAACACTGTAAAAGTTTCGGTCCACTGCAACGCTTTACTGAATTAACCTGCATCGCTAACAATCAAACTTTAGCATTTGAAAGTCAGGGATGTATAAATACGTAGAGACGGTAGAAGCTATACAATAAAAAGTGACATAAAAAGCATAGCGGTATTCACCTAAGTCAACTCAGCATGAGGAAGTTTCAACCTTAGCTTTTTTGTTAATTTATAAACGAGCCACTTTTAAATTGTATGTAAAAAATCATGTCAGTGTCGAAGCACTGACTTCTAAGCTGACGATACTATCTGGGACAAACAGTTCACCAGCAGTGGCATCAATCCAGTGCTTGTGACTGAAAATGATACTTTATAGATTTTGTGCATCAGAAGTGACTTATTAAAGTTACCTTCATCATCAACGGTTAAACTTAAAATAAAAAGTCAGGAATGTATAAATACGTAAAAAACGTTTGACACTATGTGAGAAGCAGTGTTATCAACCCAATACTAGTAAATAGTTTATAATTTCCTTGCGTCCGCGAATTTATTTTCCATGGCAAGATAAATATTCGAACTGCAAGTGAATTTCCATGTTGATTTGAATCTAGACAAATCGTGGATCATTTGAACAAATGATACCAAAGTTCTGTCATCAACCTCAAATTTATTAATGGATGAAGATATTAACTACGACAGCCACTGGTTTGATATACGCAATAGAATCACACAACCTCTTCTTTTTTGGAAATTTCATCAATTGTAGGTAGTATGATTAACATATTCATGCGTTTCACGTAAAGAAACAGCTAAGATCTTCTTATTTGATATAGAAACTCGAAAATAAAAGAAACATGTTTTATCATATCAAAACAAAGTTATGGTCAAGGACTAAAATACTGTGTGTTTTCTTAGTAGCCAATTATAACTGTTTGTTTTGATATTAATGAATTTTAGCTTTTCATCCTTGCATTTTAGGTCTTTATTCAGAGGCAATATCCAATGGTTTCGTAGTTGACATTTCAGCGCCTGTCATCATCGAAAAACCTTCTTTATCAGGTCATTTGGGTACCTTTTTTGATGGAACAACTGTCTTAAGATCTGCAGTTAGATTTCACTGGAATGTTGAAGACAGTCAGTCAGCTATACAAAAACAGTACCTTTCATTGTCATCACACATATATGGACAATTTAATACCTCTTCTATAACGGTATGTTTCCTGGAAGGATTTTAACCATAAAAGTAGATTCCAATCAAAAAGAAACAACTGAATAAAACTCGTAAAAATTATTGTATAGCACAAAATGTTGTGAGCGCAAATAAGCTAAAGCAGATGCAGTCTTTATGCTGCTTTCTTTGATATTCCTGAATTCTAATATTTCATCCTTGCATTTTAGCCGGGCTTCAAAGTTATTGTCAAATTACCTATTCTAGAGGTGGCGTGATTCAGATGTGGATACTAAAAAATTCCAAAGGTCTTTTAGAGTACATACAATCTTAGACTCTTTCATCTTGCAATAGTATTAAAACATTTGACTTTCTACACTTTACACAAGTATTCCCCATTCCAAACAAAAAGACAAATTGAAAGAGTTGGTCCTGCTTTGTTTCATAAAAAAAGAATGGCCAACGTAGATACAAGTATCTTTTCTTAGGGAGGGATAAATCGTAGTTTGTATAACATCACTCTGATTAAAACAAAAAATTCACTGAAACCGACATTATCAAGATGCTTCATTTCTTGATTGACAACATATTTGTTACGTTTGGAGGACTTGTTTTTCAACAAGTAATTGGCATTCCCATGGGAACCAACTGTGCTCCTCTTCTTGCCAACTTGTTCCTTTATTCATGGCTGATTTCATACAGGAACTTCTTATGAATAAAAAAAAAAAGAATTTAGCAGTATCCTTAAACTTTACTTTCCGCTATATAGATGATGTTCTTTCACTAAATAATTCAAAATTTGGCGACTATGTTGAACGCATCTATCCCATCGAACTTGAGATAAAGGATACAACAGATACAGTTAAGGCTGCCTCATATCTTGACTTAGATCTAGAAATTGACAATGAGGATCGGTTGAAAATAAAACTTTACAACAAAAGAGATGATTTCAGCTTCCCAATTGTAAACTTTCCATTTCTATGTAGCAACATTCCAGCAGCGCCTGCATACGGAGTATATATCTCAAAGTTGATACGGTATTCCAGGGCTTGTATTACCTATCATGATTTCCATGATAGAGGGTTGCTGCTCACAAAGAAGCTATTAAACCAAGAGTTCAAAGTGGTGAAGTTGAAATCATTCCTTCGTGAATTTTACGGACGCCATCACGAGTTGGTTGACCGTTATGGAATATCCATTTCACAGATGACAGTGGATATGTTCCAATTGTCGTAACTACAATCCCACTCCCCCCTTTTTTCCCCGAATGTGAACTACCGAATTAGACTAATTAACGGGTTTGTACTAACATGAGCAACACGACGGGTGCCACATGTGGAGCAGGATCTGCTTACCATTCAGGAGCACCTGAGATAACCCCCAGTTTTTTGTGGGGTTCGTGTTGATAAGTCTTTAGTTTTCTATGTTGTGTTTCGTGTACTGTTGTTTGTCTGTTGGTCTTTTTCTTTTTTAGCCATGGCGTTGTCAGTTTATTTTTGACTTATGAGTTTGAATGTCACTTTGGTATCTTTCGCCTCTCTTTAAGTACTTTATTCAGAGTCAATATCCAATGGTTTCATAGTTGACATTTCAGCGCATGGCGGGTGATGCATACATGGCAGGAGACGCTTACCCTGTCAACGCTGCCGATCTCGCTCCTTTTAGAGTTCATGCGATTCATTCAGTTTTTGTTTGTTACCTTGATTTGTTTCTTCCTCGATTTACGAGATTTGAACATCGGCAAACTACAGTCATATGTATATATGCACAAAAGACGTGAATGTTATAGTATTTTTGTGGGCCAGATTTTCTACAGTTTCACGAAATTAGATAAAAAATTAAAGACTTGCGAAACCATATATAATATTTACACTGACACTTTAAATCTACTTATCCCCGGCTTAGTATATTTCTCGGATTTTGATTGGCTAACGAACGTCGTTAAAAAAACCCGTAGCCCCGGTGTTGCTAGGTTGGTTCACTCCGTAAAATATTCAGTATTGTCAATTTATCAAATAACGGCCGGGTACCAGTCTATGGTGTTGTTAACCCATATACCCGGGCGTTACTACCCATTACACCAGGGAAAATTCACGCGCGTCTTCCTTAGTTCCATGGTTGTTTCCAGTGAAATCTGTAGATTATCCATGATGTCAGTAATTAAATATGTAATCCACTAACGATTTTATCCTATAATGCCGATCATTTGCATTCATTTTAGTTAATGTATCACTTGGCAGACACGTCGTCAATGAACGGGACTATTGACTAGCTATGCAAATGATCCACGTTGGCGTCACGCCGTCTATGACATAACACTCATAACATTGACCGCCTTTAATTAATTTCAGTTTCTCTGTCTGGATTAAAAACGTCTTATATTGGACTACCTGAAGGTAGAACCCTACACCCCGTTAAAAATATGTCAAATTTCCAAATTTCAATAAAACGTTTTTAAATAATAAAAAAAAACTTTGCTTTCACGTTACACTTTGTGCTAGAATTTTCCTAAAAATCGGCTGATTCGGACTAAGACCGGGGATAAATTCGTTATCTACGTATCGCCACAGGGTGTACTGGGATATTTCAGGGTGTTAGAATACCCATATCTACGGATATGAACGTAGATAACATATATTATTGTCATCTACTCTATAATTTATCTTTCATCTTTGCCTTGTTGGTGCTCTCCACCCTCTCCAAAATTCTGGATATTTAGTCCGTTTCTTTAAACCCAATGTTAATAGTTATACTTCAAATTCTCCTTACGATATCTAAGCTGTTACTTAAAGCAGTGCTACAATACCGATTTTTTTAATAAGATTGTTTTGCATTATAGATATGAAAAGTACATTTATAAATATATTCTTATTGATGGATTTTTATAAAAAATCTCTGAATTTAACACTTTGAACAGTTCATCTGTTTGACGTTTATAAATTTTATTGTATACTTTTAAAGGTAGCTGGCGTAATTAGAGAATATACCTTGACAGGACTTGATTTCCCTGATGGTGGTTTATACTACATGAAATTAATTGTATGTAATGGTGCAAAGATTTGCACAGAAAGCGAATCTGACAGTATCATGGTAGATACCACACCACCAACATCTGGTTAGTACATGCTTATACTTTTGTAAGCACAAATATGTAAAAATATTTTTTTCTAAATCCGAATACACTCAGTATTACAAGAGGAATACACAGCATAGTTTGTTGCAGATACCAAGGCACATGAAATTCTGAATAAAACTTCTATGAAAAATATATTATCTCAATTGATGCATACAAAGCCATGATGAATCTGTAGTTATCCTTGAAAAAGCAACACAACTCTCTTCCTGTATTCTATATCAAACATACAAAACGTAAAGGGGGTACATACAAGTAATACAACTGCATTTGATGATCAATATACTGATATACATTTTATCCTTCCACAGGCAATTATTTTTTTTATTTTGAGTACTTTTTACAGTTACGCCTAACATATCTTGCAGATGACGTCACACATATATTTATTTTGACTTCATTACTCACAAACTACATATTTTTTTTCCTCCTTCGCTTGATCTCATACTTAAAATAACTTTAAATGGAAATAAATTCGGCAATAAACTTTTGGTTCTATAGCTCTTTACCTGTTTCGGTACTTATACATCCTTAGCTTTCTTTTTTGTTTAAGTTGTTTTAAGCGGTCTTTATGAAGGTAGCTCAAGAAAAGAGCTTCGGACGTAATCTAAAGTGTTATTTTCCTTTTTTTTATGAAAAAAGTAAACTCAAATGGTTTTACGAGGTTTTTAATCTGCTAACTACTTTTGTCCATTATTACACACTAAATTGAAATGTATTTTACTTGCAACATTTGAATGACAATTTAGTTTATGAGTGTATTACCACCAAACAGTACGCAACAAATGATAGTTTGCTAGTTTTTTCAACTGATTGTTCTGTAAAAATGGTTCAGTTGTATGTAAAGAATTAATACTTTATTTAACTCTTATTAAGGTATGTTCGCTGTTAGTACATATCATGCTGCAAACCTTCAACGTCATACACTTCGTTCCATGTCTTGGTCAGAATATCGTATCAATGTTGCTTTGCTGGGATTTAACGATCTCCATTCTGGCATCGACAAATATTACGTATCCGTTGGCAGTGAATTTATGGCTTATGATTTAAACAAGGTAAGCAATAAAATAAAATATGAACTCTTAATAAAAAAAAAGTGACAAAAGAGTACGTACGAACTAATAGTATATTAAAATTTGTAAATCCATATGACAGAGCTGATTCTAGAAGTGCGAATCCACTATTATAGGCATTCTTTAACTTATAATTTCATTAATAAGGCTATAAAGAGTGACGATTTAAATTATCACATGCTGTCGTCGAAATTACAAACATGTTGTTTGCTACAAAGTCAAAGTTTCTCAAATTATCACCGTCGTTTTAGCTCTGTCATGGACCATATAAATATATCACGCACATAAGTTATTTATACTAGTTTCGCATTGTTTTCTACTTGATAGAGAAAAAACCCAACCAAGTGACATTATAATCTACATTATACACAAAAGGTGCATTAGTTTATAATATATACGTAAGAGAATGAAAGTTATCTTTCTTCCTATACAGAAAACGGCATTATAGTCGTGAATTAGACTTCTTATATATACATTAGGAAAATATTTAACCATGTTAATCTAAGTCAAGAATTATCTATAATAATTTTGCAATGCTCTACAACTTGGTTTTTTATTTGGCCTTTTAAACTTTTTTAATTGGAGCGTCACTGATGATTCTTTTGTAGTCGAAACGTGCGGCTGGCGTACATTTTCTTTTAGCTTTGTTTCTCTGAGGAGTTTATTTAGTAGTTTAGATGGTGTATACATAGAAAGGAAAGTAGAAGATAACTCAAATAATAAAATGTTTCAACTTTTCATTTCTACCCTTCGGGGAATATTGTTCAACCACTACTCGTCCGTCTATGAGTTATTTTGTCTGCCCTTACGTCGATCTGTCCTTCCATCCGTCCCATATATTCTAAGGATATGCATATTGCCAGAAATTTGGTTTTCTTTGAAACGAATCACAAATGACAGGATGTTGACCTTTTTTATTTCATGTCCTAGTGACTGAAAGTAGAGCGGTTTAACTTTGTTTACACAGTGGAGTAAGAACGCATGTACATGTTTGATGGTATTTCATCCGCCAAAGAGCGTTTATCAAATCATTCCAATATTCACCAAGAACAGTTGTCAGCTGGTTATTGTATTTGCTATGCACATTTTTTGTATCATTTACATTTACATATTTTTATCTCCTGTTAACTTAGGAAATTGAAATGAACAACTTAAAGTTAGAACGCTTGAAAAGAACAACAACAAATGTAGGACATGTTGTTCTTATAATCATCAACCGAAAAGCTTAAATGATTGTATCTTAAATCGGTGTCAATCTAGGTTAGACATTTGAGGAAATCAAACAATGACTCCAGATTAGAAAAACCCAACCAAAATAAAACCTTTATGATATCAAAATAACTACCCAGATTCCTTATATGCGCCTAGACCGCTTATCATTATGTTCCAGGTTGCATGCATAGCAGGAGACGCTCATCCTGTCCATGCACTGGTTTTACACCTTTTGGACTTCTTGCAATTCCTTCAGTTTTAGTTCAGTTTACCTTGATATTTATCTTTTTAATCGTTTCATGAGATCTAAACACTTGTTGCTAAATATAAACCTGTTTGAAATACTTAACACTGATGTCACTCCATGTTCAGTGAAAACAGAGATAATGGAACAATAAAGTACTCAACAATAAAAAATTAGGATAGAATTAATTTGACTGATACGACCAAATATCTTGCAGCATATTATCATTATTAATAATCGCCCAAAAAAATACAATAAAGAGACATGCTTTGATGATGTTTGATTGTTTCAGGTACCCGGTTCGCCAATGGAATTTCATCACAACGATTCCGGTATTCAGTATTTGGATGAAGGCCCTCTGCAATTCTTTGTTGTTTCTACTCAGTTATTGAAAAATTACAATCATGTTTTTATCAGCGTTTGGGCAGTAAATAAGGTAATACATACATTTGACAATAACACTGGCATCACTAGGTATAAGATGAATATGGGCTATGAAAATATGACTCACGAAATATTTCGTAATTGCCAGTACTCCCTTTAAGAGAAGCTCTTTTATGTAAATTTGTCTTAATTATGAAAATAACAGTGTGAAAAGCTTTGAAATAATTGAATAACTTAAACTAGATAGAAGCCAACATCATTAAATGGTACTGAGTCAATGATGGTTGCCAATTGCTGATTTAAGAATAAAAAGATTTGATTACTGTTTGTACATTTTATTTACCTAAAGCACAAAAAGCAAAGAAATAACACATTTTTGACTAATTGGAAACCTTATTTAATATACAGGTTGGATTAAGAAGTTCGATGATACATTACAAATTTCAACTTATTTCTGGAGGTTACTTAGATCTGATCAGACGTTGCACGGCCCTGACTTGCCTTGGCCATTGTATTTGTTCACCAAAATATAAACGTTGTCATCTGAACGGAGATTCATGTACTAATGTGACCACAGGTAAACTAACGGGATTGCAGTGGAATAGATAAAATTTAAAGTATATGTTGGGTATGACAGCAATCCGATGACAAAAATAATCAAATGATATACAGTTTTCACCAATGGACAGGTGTTTATAACATATGTCAACCTTTAAATCAATCTGAGTCCAGAGTGAATAGACACAATAGAGTATAGCAAGTCTTTGTTGAATGTTTTCACAATTTTTTACCATAAGCAATTTCAGTTATACTATAGGCACTTGTTTTATGTTGAATGATGTATATCAATACTAGAATAGTTACCATTTCAATGAAATAACCTTAAGAAGCATGTAACTAAAAAAAATATATGAATATTATAATGGTATTATGCTTTTGAATTAATCTGTAACCCATTTTGTTTAATAGATAAAAGAAATACCTTAATTGCAATATCTGATATCATTGATCTTTCTGACGACATGGATGTGGAGTTTACACCTTCCAAGACCTTTCTGTCTGCAAAATGGAAAATTAGTAAACAGCAAGGATTATCTCCACTTTGGTAAGATATTTTTTTTTATTTTTTATATAAAGGGTCACAGTAGTGTCAATTCATGTATGTAAAATTAATTGGTGTGAATTTACTATAATATTCGAGTATATTATATATACGTCCAAATGTCGCAATTTGTGAAATACAGTGAATTCTAAATCTAATTTTTATGGTAGTATGCTTTATTTCTTCAGTTAGACTGCTTAAAAAAAAAGACTTGATCTAAATTTTTCCAAAGCAAATAGGTAGTTTCTGATCCTTTGGACAGTTTGATTAACTGATACAACTGTTAATAGTTTAAACATTTTGATAGACTGCTACAAAAAGAATCAAACATTGTCAGACAAGTCACAGTTATACATTAGCAGTAATGTTTGACAAAAAGTAAAATTTAAAATGTCAAGGAAATGTTGAATATCATGTTTATCTTAGTCAATAAAAGTTTGTCTACCTTTTTATATTTATTGAAAAAAAATATTTATGAAGGACATAATTTACACGTCTTATTGTTGATGGTGTTTGCATCTTGCACTATTCCTTTATTTTCTATCAAGAATATTTATCTACGCTATTACTAATTTTTGGTATTACAACTCACTTTTCAGGTATGAATGGAGTGTTGGCTTAACTACTCAGGATTTACCTGAAGGTGTTATTGATTCAACTAAGGATCCATTATGGCAGCATTCCGGACAAAACATGGAGGCTACCTACTCCTTAAAACGAGGTATTTTATATATGACATAACAAATAAGAAGCTAAATTAGCTAATTACTGGTTAGATGTTAGAACTTTAAATTGGGTAACTTCAAACAGACATCAAATTTTAAATCTCTTAAAGAGTTCTTTCTAAAAAAAACTTGAAGAATTTGTACTACCTCGTGTCATAGAATTTAAAAATTTTTAATTCCAGGCCATGAGCTCACCGAGTTATTGACGTATTCTGTTTTTGTACGAGTTTGGTATAATAGCAAAACATATGCAATATTTAAATCAAACGGAGTCACCGTTCAGGCAGAAGAAGTTCACGTGATTACTCAGAGAGGTGCTGCGGTATGTAATATGTTTTATATATTATTCGCAAATTTGAAGATCACTAACATTGGCGATTTTATGACAAGGCCATTATTTCGCCCCTCGAAATTATAAGGGCAAAAATATATTAAATCTTTCAAATAATATCCAAAAACTTTAGTCTGGATGATATCAGTCTTCATAGTTTCTGATTTTGTCTCATACACTTGTATTAGCGCTTTTTTTTTATTAACATGTCAATTTGTGTAAAATATCCTTTCGAGTAAATCCTTAGATCATCCTGTCAAAAGACTGTGTGTAAAATTTCTGTTTTTGGTAAAATGGTAAAAGAAACTATAGGTTTTAATTATACATGTATATATACATTTATAGACCAATGTTGGGAGATAAACGCTGATAAACTAATAAATACAAACCCGCCGCATTTTGTAAATAATTGACCAAAGTAAGGAGACTGTATCGTTTTAGCGTTAATCAGTTCGTTCCAACTGTTTTAGATTTTGTCATATACGGTCTTTTAAATCCAACTATACAATACGACGAGGATCTTATAAGAATTGACACTTTATAAATTGTATGAATTCGAAGCGCTCTATTGGATTAACTTTCATCTTTCATTAGGAACGTCAAAAGATAAAATTAAAGTCAAGATTGTTTTAATACTAAATTACATTAGGAGCTATTTAACCAAAAGGGATATAAATACAATAGCTAAATCCATATATGTTTAAAAGGAAAAGGATTTTATTATATTAACAGATTTTTGTTAGTGTTAATATATTTCATTTACTTTCCAGGTTGCTGAAAAGGTTCCATCATTCTGGAAAAATGACGTCGATTTTATCTTACCCGGCTCTTTATACACTGTCGTATGGAAAAATGTTTTTATGGCTAAAGTTGGAAGCGTACAAAAGTTTAATCTTTACATCAGCACTTTTAAAGGAGGTAATGTTACCTTATCCAATAGTATCAGATGTACAATGAATTTGACATAAACGATAGAACAGTATTTACATGAAATAACAAAGTGAAAGTAAATTAAATTTACGTACGTTCCATCCCCAATTATTATTTCAGTATATATAAAAAGATGTGGTATGATTGTCAATGAGACAACTCTCCACAATTGACCAAATGACACAGAAATTAACAACTGTAGGTCACCGTATGGCCTTCAACAATGAACAAAGCCCACACCGCATAGTGCATAATTGATCCGTCCGAAGCGTATGTAAAAAAATAACTTTTCAGTCGAATGACCAAAAGTCACTATTTTATACAACACTAACTATGCATTGCAGATGATAAATAATAAAAGGAAATATAAAAAGGAAATAAGAACTAAATAGTTCTTACCCTGAATGTTATTTAGATAAAGGTGTATTTTCAAATCAGGGGTGATTGGATTGAAGAAAAACATACTTATCGGAGCGTCTGTGTACCAAGTCACTTGTTGGGTACTTTCATAAATATTTATATGTCAGATATATATAAATGAAATAGCTTTAACATCACAAATTATCATGCAAATCTTCAGTTTTGAACCTAATTGTAATTTAATTGATATAATTTACTGTTAAATGAATGATTAAAAGAATAAAAGGAATCGTCAAAAATACCGCTCAGCACAACACACCACATAAATCTTTTACTCTCTATATATATATTTCTTTAATTTCAGGTGCAGATCAACACAAAATAAATATCGACATTGATTCGTCACTAGATGCTGTCAATATAAGTCGACTAACAATGAGTCCAGGTATTGTTTACTACAGCAATGTCGTCGCCTATACTTTTTCAGGCCTACAAACTGTCGTGTCATCAGATGGCATAATGGTTGACAGTAGTTCGCCTATATCCGGGATTGTATATGATGGCTTGGGTAAGAATTTGTATACATTGTTTTGGGTTTTTTTTTTGTAAAATCATTTCTTTTGTTTTCTAAAAAATTGTGTGTTGATTTTGTAGATGAATTAAAAAAATAAACTGAATCAGAATAAGAACTTATCATATATTGTCTTTTGTTAGAGAGTAGGAATGGTCTTAATAGTCAAGAATCATACTTCCTCTGTATCATAATCCGTTAAATGGCATTTTTGTGGGCACCGTTCGCGTCAAATGCAGTAAAATATTGATCTTTTACAATTTTTAGGAAAAATTCTATCAATAATCACAATATAGTATAGCCTTTTGTTAGCAAATCAAAATGTGATGCTGACATGTTTTATGATTTTAGCAATCTCCATACGGATAGCTGAGTAAATGCAAATTGATGTGTCCAGGCCTATTTTCTTTTTAATTATCATACTCTTCAATTTCTCATTCGGTAGGTTGAAGCTATTGTATGTGCGTTAGCTTTTTACATTCAGTTTAATTTTAAGCTTTAAGTATATGAATTTGGGTTCAATTAAAAAAAATACATGTGGAACGTGTCCATGGGACAATAATGATTACCCCGCTTCCATATACCATTATAAGGGGACATAGGCCAACAACGGCAAAAGTGACGATACCCAGATTCGTGTTTGATATGAGTTTTGTGGTAATAAGCATTGTGTATAAGTTTCATAACATTTGAATGAGGCAAAATAAAGTTAGAGAACGGAAACGAAAAATTCAGCAATTTTCCATTTGTTAAGGTACATAACTCTATAAAAGGTAAAAGTGAAGCCACCCTAACTCAAACTTGACCTGTTTTTTGAGGTAATAAGCATATTTTTCCTCACATTTGGTTGAGGCAAACTAAAGTTAGACAACGGAAACTAATTTTGGGACGTACGAACGTATAGACGGACAAGGGTAAAACTTAATGCCACCGCAGTAGTGTAGATAATAACTTACTTCTTGCTTTGGTATTTAGGTCTTCATGATATCAAGTACCAAAATAAATCAGACATTGCATCAGCATCATGGCACGGATTTACAGATACAGAATCAGGTGTCATTAAGTATACGTGGTGTGTAGGTACAAATAGGAATGATAAGAATTGTGACATTGTACCATGGAAAAATATTGGAATGCATACATCAGTTTCAACAAGCTTACAGAATCATATAAATAATGGTATGGAAATAGTTTGCTTTTGATGCTTTAACACGGCTATCTGAGAAGGACAGGTTGGTGTTGATCTGAATGAACATGAGCTATCCACTATGACAAAAAATCGCCTATTAAGAATATATAAATCAAAACAGTGATTGTTAAATTTGACAAACATCATGTTATGTAACACACGTTTGAACATGATGCCAACTTTTGATTTAATTTCAAGTCTATGACTTTGGTAAAAAATTTGAACAACGCTTTGAACGATTCCATGCGTCCGAATTTTAGTAAATGACTCATGACTGACTATGCGGTATTGGCTTTGCTAATTGTTGAAGGCCGTACAGTGACCTATAGTTGTTAATTTCTGCGTCATTTAGTCTCTTGTGAAGAGTTGTCTCATTGGCAATCATACCACATCTTCTTTTTTATATTAACACATCTGTCAAAGATGAGGTACAAAATATTTTCTCTATAATTATCCCATAACAGCAGATTACATATCTATGTTAACTGGTTTCCTTTTGTAATATACTTATTCATTGAGCGACTGTTTCCCGTACATGTACAATCCTTACAAATTTACCATCACAGAAAAAACCAATTCAGAACGGATTATGTCCCCTTAACACATACATGAATTGTTTTTTACATTACAGTGTTTACAATGTATCTCGGGTATTTGTGTTGGTATACACAATTTTGGGTCCTCAATGCTCTTCAACTTTGTATTTGTTTTGGCTTTCTAACTATTTTGATCTGAGCGTCACTGATGAGTCTTATGTAGACGAAACTCGCGTCTGGCGTATCAAATTATAAGCCTGGTACCTTTGATAACTATTAGTATATCCAGGTTCACTAGTAAAATATTCGTATATAAGAATAATAAAACAACGTATGTGTCATCATGACCTATACTGAATTTTAAAGCGACTACGGGTATGTTTCAGATTAGCGAAAATATAAAGTTTTTATTTCATGAATAAATTTAGGGCGATGTGAGGTAAACGTCAATGAGACGGCAACACAGTGCAAATTATCGCACGACACACCGTAATATGTGGAAGGGAATATCCGCCACAATTATACATTTCCTAATTTGTAAAATCCAATTTCCTAATTTGTAACATGCAATTTCTTAATTTGTGAAATGTAATTTCTTAATTTGTAACATGTATTTTTTTCCATCCGTTACATGAATTTCTACATTTCTTGATTTGTGAGATGTAATTTTTTAATGTGTAAATGCAATTTCTTAATTTGTTAACGTATTTTCTTCGTTCGTAACATGAAATTCTACATTTCTTAATTTGTAAAATGTAATTTCTTTGTTTCAGTCAGTTCGGGAGAATGTGTTAGTGCCAGCCAATGAGAAGATCCGTTTCTAAAGAAAAACTACAAGTTACAAATCGACAAGTTACAAATCAAGAAGTTTTACAAATCAAGAATGAAAAGTTCAACATTATTCCGCACTAGGTCGCTGTGGATCCATTTAAACTCGTACCTTAGCCAAATCGTACCCAATATTTAATTTTTTGCATTGCAGTTTTAAGTTCTTTTATATAATATACAAAATACAATAAAGTACAAATTTATTGATTGATAATCTGATGCAATTTGTTTTCAAATCGGAAATATCTCATTTTAATCATTCGTCTTTAGAAGTAAGTGATTATATAAAAGTGTTTGAACATAATTCATTTCATTTTCAAGTTGCATAATTATAACCATACATTATTCTAATCAGTAATCCTTAGTCAGTGGCGGGGGTGTTCAGGGTGTTTAAATCCCCTATTTGTTTGACAACTAATGCTTTTGTATGGGGACATATGGTTGGAACCCGTCTCTCTGTATGACTCGCATGTGTTGGACCCCCCTTTTTTAAAATGGCTGGATCCGCAAAAATAGAATGGGATTTTTTAAATTAAAGATAAACATAGAAGAGTTTATGAAAACACAGATTTCGGAATAAATGCTGCACTTTGAAAATCAAACTCTGTTGAATTTTACTTATTAACTTTGTGAAAAATTTTGGGAGAGGTTGGAGGATAAGGGCGAAATGTATAATCTTACATTAGGCCTTCATATATAAACTATCTAAAATAATCTTTTTGAACACACATTCAACGCAAAAATTAGTAAAAATATCCTTCTTCGATATTCTATGAAGCTTTTTAAACTGATTTTTGTGTTGAACATGGGTTCAAGAGGATTTTTCTAGTTAGTTTATATAGGAATCAATTTCGAATCTTTTCGAAGCGACAAAGCCAGCACATGAATTAAACGTAATTCTAAAAACATAAATATAATCGTCTGGTAGGTTTGAATTATCTAAATCAGTTACCATCGTTTCAACAACAAAAATACAGATAGCATGTCTATGCAAGATGTCAATGAAATCCGGAGACATCAGTCTTTTCTTCAGCCCACAAACATTTAAGAAACAAAACTTTAATGCATCGTTGTTCAATTTATATTCACTACTAACAGTTCCATTACTGGTCGATTTCCATTTAGATAGTCCATTTGCATTAACCCCTTATCTGGGTTCTGGACAATTTGCGTTCGGTGGATGAGGGGACGGCCCCTGTCGCTGTCTTTTGCTAGGTGGGATATCACTAGAATAAGACTCTTTTGGGTTCGTATCATGATTTGTTGACGAAGAGCTGGTACGCTCTGTTCTATATTCGTCTAATATGGTGTCAGGAGTATAGAGCTGATTGTCTAAGACGAATGATAGAATTTAGATATTTCTGATTTGAAAACAAATTGCATTGATTACAAATCAATGCAGTTGTACTTCATTATATTTGTATGTTTCTATATTATATAAAAGATCATAATAAATTTAATGCGTATAAATAATAAATTTGGGTACGAGTTGGTAAATATTGGGCACGATTTGCTTTAAAACGAGTAAATTAAGTACGAGTTGGCCAATGAACGAGTTGACATGGATCAACGGCGACCTCGTGCAGAATATTGTGGAATTATATCATTCTTGATTTGAAATACTTATTGAGCTGTAAAATTTCTTGATTTGTAATTTGTTGATTTGTGACCTGTAGATTTTCTTCAGAAACTGAACTTCTAACTGCCTGTCAGTGGTATCAATTACACTGACACATTCTCCCAAAACGTGACTCAAGCAACGAAATTACATTTCACAAATTAAGAAATGTAGAATTTCATGTAAAGAATGAAGAAAATACATTAACAAATTAAGAAATTGCATTTACACATTAAGAAATTACATTTCACAAATCAAGAAATGTAGAAATTCATGTAATGGATGGAAAAAATACATGTTACAAATTAAGAAATCACATTTTACAAATTAAGAAATTGCATGTTACAAATTAGGAAATTGGATTTTACAAATTAAAAAAATGTATAATTATGGCGAATATTCCCTTCCATAGTAATCAACATGCATTTGGTAACAGTCGACAAAACAGTAAGCCATGAGTATAAAACATTCGTAAATAAACTATTAAAGATTTGCAATTAATATCAAATCATCCGAATGAGAAAAAAATATTCAAACGATGTGTTAAAAGAGATCACTATCGACAATGTTACTGCCTTGTAGTTGTAGAACAAAAATTTTCTTCACTTTATCCTGTTTTTATTAAGTTAAAACATTTGTGCCGTCGTGATATATTTTACGACCAAACGACCCTTGGTAAAGTATGCATAATATAAGCTTTTATTGGTGAATATATACGAAAATGATACGCACTTTGTTTTAATTACAGGTCAAATAATTTACAACAAAGTTATAGCTACTGACGGAGTCGGTCATACCACCGATATAACTCCGTCTTACGGGGTAACTATAGATACAACACCACCAGTACCGATCTTGTTTTCGCATGTTGCAGATAACTTCGTAACAAATCCTTCATTTGAGGAAACAAACGGCTGTTTTATGGACATAAATGATATTTCAGTCTATAACCTGTGTGATAATGGTAATTGTTACCAACCGTTTTCATGGAGTAAAGTTGGTTGCTTAGCCGCTATAAAATCTGATGTTGACACCGCTTATGATGGACGATCTTTCATCTATCTAAAAGGGTCAATACAACAAAATATACAGCAGCTTTCATCAGGAATTTTGTATAAGTTATCATTTGTAACTAGTCATCCGCCTATCACTACAGCTGTCGTTTCTAATATAGAAGGATCCGTCAAGTTTGGTCACAAGAAATATGTATTTCACATTTTTACAAAAGAAAATCAAAGTGATATAGTTTGGCACCTACATACATTTTACTTCAGACCAAATACAAACAGTTCTGAAGTGATAATTAGCAATCTCGACAGAAATATTGGTTTCCTAGTTGACAATGTAAAGATTCAGGCAGTCAAAGTACAATCAAACAGCGCTAGTGAAACGCCAGTTCAAGTGCATACCGTAGGCCTTTATCGCTGGTCATCTATACATGCTTCGTGGAATTTTGTGGATTTTGAAAGTCCGATTACTGAATATCTCTGGGCTATTGGTGTGTATACATAGTTATTGTTGATTCTATTGCTTTCAAATTAATTATTATATTTTAATATTGCACCAAATGGTGTCCAAATAACAACCAGTGATATGTTTTAAAATATGAGGCTACAGTGGCTTACCAATGGTCAAATCTCATGAATATATGAAAAAGAATACACTTGAAGGTAAAATCAAAAACACAAAATAAACGGGTGCGTCTACAGAGTAAGCGTCTACTATTATTGAACGTTATTTCATTTTCCGATACGATTTTAATATTGCAAGTTTATGTTAAGGGTGATCAACCAGATCGAACCTTCCAATCTTAATTTTTGCAATATCATCTTTTTTTTATATTAGGAAGTACAAAAGGTAATGCAGAAATGCAGCATTTTCAGAGTGTTGGTGTTAATAACTTTGGTTACAATTACAACATAACATTGGCTCATTCGTCACAAGTTCATGTCACAGTAGTAGCTATCAATGCTGCTGGTTTACAAGCTAAAGCTTATTCAACTGGAGTAGATATTGATAATACACCGCCGGTCATTAACCAGGTTCATGATGGAGTAGGTAAGTTTGTTTACTATCAAAAAATTATCTGAATCATTCAAAGAATACGTTCAGTTGATGTTTAAATAAAAAAATACATGAAAATCAAAAACATATAATAAGATGCTCAAGTCCATTTCGTGATCTATTTTGACTAATTGTACACCAAAAACATTAAGCCACACAAATGGTCAAGATTGAGCAATACGAACCGAAACAAAAACCTGGGTTAAGTGTGGTGCTCAAAAAGGGTAGGCGATTCCGGCTTCAGTACGGGCCCCCGTAGTGTTGCTATTGATAAATAAATTATTATTATTAGTTGCGTTTGGTGGTAGGTTATACACAATATAACGAAAGGAAAAAACTTAATTGTTACTTGAACTAATGGAATATATTCATTCTTCATCTGTATCATGAATCCCATAAATGTTATTACAGTCACGATTAGGTCCGTAACCAATCGATAAGATGACTTTTTCGTACCGTTTTCGAACATAAGCTACTATGATACATACAGGTTCATTACAGTTTTATGTCGAGAGAACTAAGTAATAACATTAACAATAGCATTTCATTTCACCTATGCTCATTTGGACAACTGATATCCATTCAGTGATGCACAAGAACAAACTATTTGAAAATCCAAAATGTATTTCAAACTTTTAATCGTGGGATCAATGTTAATCCAGATAAGCGCTTCGGACGCACGAAATTAATAAAGTGTTATTTTCATTTTAAAGCTGGTGTTCCCAAAAAAAAATGTTATTACAAAACAACAAAACTCCAAGTTAAATTCAAAATGAAACAAAACGTATAAGCCAAACTCACACAAGGACTCAGTGATATGCATGGGTGAGATCTTTTCCGTAAAAAAAATAAAAGCATATTTCAATAAAACTTATTCCGTATTTCATGCCAGTACAGAAGTACTTAGCTACTAGGCTGGTGTATCCCTCGTGAACTAAGAGTCCACAAGCAGATGTATCGGACTAGTGCTAGTAAATACATTAACGGTACCAATGTTTACTCTCCAAATGTGCATTTCAACAATTGATGTATCTTGAGTTATTGTTGATGCCAATTGATAAAAAAAAACTTTGAAGAGCTGATATAATCAGAAAAGGTGGAAAGTATAGTCAAACCCAAACAAGGAGCTATGGTAATTGTCTATTGAGCTAATTAGACTTAACCTGCGATTGCTCAAGCTGCAGATAAATTCCATAAAGAATTTCGATGAATTGGTGTGATAAATAGGCAAACATAGTATGTCAAACAGAGCGCTAAATATTCTTGAGCATCGAATTTTGATAGGAATCAGTTTTATTCAACTTTTGTTTTATTTGTTTTGGGACAATATGATTTTTCTTTACATGTTTTACCAAAACCAATAAGGTGTCGTCATAGATAAAGAAAAATTATATGCAATTGTTTTGATAAATTCCAGGTGTAGATATTGATGGACAAACATCTAATATCATATCAGCTAACTGGGATGTCATTGATCCTGAATCTGATATTGATTATTGTGAATGGTCAATAGGTAAGTATCTTATTCAGAAGAGCAGACTGAATGATGTCATTGATCAAACTCCGTGGTAGTTTTCGTTGACAGTCTTTTCCGATACCACATCTTTATTATCCTTTCAAAATATATGTCGCTTTTGAAATATCTTCGTAGTATACCTTAAAAATTTAAAAGATCGGTTTCTAGTTCAGCTTTATTGCGCGTCTGATGATCAAAATTCTAACCCTGGTATCTTTATTGAGTTCTTATGTCAAGTGGCAAAACATGTTTTCTGCAATAATTTCTTGATATCTCTAACATGTGTTTGAAAGAATTCCTGAACCAACATTGATCAAAGTATGAATTATTGTAAATGATTGCAGTAAAATGGCATTAATTTAATTTGTAGCAAGGTTGTTCAATTCAACTGTTCAATTGATCATGTTTGACATAAACTAATGAATAGACTATAAAAATATAGCTTACCCAGTATTTAACTGCAGCTTTACATACATAAAATTGATTAACAAAGGAAACCTTGCATTGAGGTTTTTAGTGCGTATGTGATAAGTCTTCACAAAAGTAAGCAGCCCTGTAGACTAAATGTTTATCATTTATTGAATTATAATAAATATTTTTTACCCTCAGGCATATATACCGTATTTGGCACAGATTTGTTGGAATTTTGCTTTTTAACTTTCTATTAAATTTGGCTTTCTAACTAACCATTTTACCTCAAGCACCACTGTAAGTCTTGTGTAAACGAAACGCTCTTCTTGTGTAACAAATCATAAGCCTATAGTATCTATGATGAATTCTTATAGCTAATAATTTATACTTGGTAAGCCTGTTTCAATTGATTTTTTTCAAACTATCTACGTCAGTTTGTTCCTATGCTGTAACACTATTATCTTAAGATAGAGAGGGTTTAGCACTCGCAAACATTTAAGTTCCGCCACACATGTTTCTGTCCCAAGTGAGGAGTCGGTAGTTCAGTTATTGTCGTTGGTTGATGTCATACTTTGCTTATTATATTTTCACTAATCAGGCCGTCCTTCTTCTCGTTTGAATTGTTTTAAATGTGACATATCGCGGCCTTTTATATCTGACTATACAGTATTGGTTTTACGTATTGTTGAATAAAATTGAGAATGGAAATGGGGAATATGTCAAACAGACAACAACCCGACCAAAGAGCAGACAACAGCCGAAATCCACCAATGGGTCTTCAATGCAGCGAGAAAATCCCGCACCCGGAGGTGGTCCTCAGCTGGCTCCTAACTAAAATTGTGTGCTAGTTCAGTGAAAGTTGACGTCACACTAAACTCCAAAACATATAAATGAACTAAAATTAAAAAACAAACACGAAAGCTTTATGGTGACCTATAGCTACATCGACGTCATTTTGATGGATGGATGCATGACAGTTAAACATTCAGAGGCAAATTAAATGCAAAATCAAGACGATAACATGTTAGTGCGATATGAAAATGAACCCTGCTTTGAATTCCAAGCAGACCAGCCATGCTCTTAGTCCTCAATGCCGCATGCTTAGCAGAGAAGCAGCAAATACCAATTTTACTGTGTTCGGTTGGAAACCACTACCTCCCGACCTAGAGGCGCAAAAACGCTAACACGAATCCACCAATGATGAATATTTGTCTCATCTCATTTGCAATCATAACACATCTTAGTTTATATCATAAGTGATTACAGAACTGAGAACGTCGCCGTTGTTTGGTGTTGTTATTGGTACAAATGACAGTTACGATAACGCCGAGACTGTGCATAGTACCAAATGAAGAACGGCAATTGAATTTTGTAAGTTTGTATGAATGTAACTTAGTCAACAGAGTTTCAACAACAACCTGCAAATTGATGTTCTTCAGTTTATATAAAAACAGTTAAAGGCGCATCATGTGCATTTCCTATCAATTAATCCTTTTATCATTAGTATCAGTCATGAAATTAATATTACGTTTTTCTTTTTGAAAAATTGCTTAGGTCTTCAGTCGTATGGAAACGAACTTCAACCGTTTACAAAGACAACAGACGTAATATCTGCATCCATTTCGTTTGATGAATATATCATATCACAGAAGACAGTATACATCACTGTTAGGTGTCACAATAATGCAGGTTTATTTTCTACTGCTACATCAGATGGTGTTACAATATCCGATATTCCTCCTTCTAGTGACCATGCTGTGATAACAATCATTCCTCAATCACTCACTGAATATAGTCCTGGTGATTACTATCAACAAGACAAAACTTCTGTGAGGATAAAATGGTCCGGATTCACAGATCAGTTTGGTATTATGTCTTTTGTTGTAAGTACTAGTATCGTACTCTGTGTATGCAATAAATTATCAACGATTGGAATAGGTTTAGTTTGATTTAACTTAAGTTTACCCGATGAGGTATATGCCTTACTTAATAAAATAAAAAAATATAAAATGTATTTTATTGTTTTTAATATACAATATACCTTTTTGACAAAGAAATGGCTTTTATTTAGTATTGTAAGAATGTCCAATTAGGGAACTAAGAATCAATTATCCGCAAAGTACCATTTGAACGACATTTAGAGTGAGTTCGACACGTTAAATACATTTTAGACTCAATTGCGATCTAACGTTATCACATAATCACGGAACAATAAACAGATACTTTTTTATTTGAATATCATGTAGTCACTTTGAACATAAAATAGAAAAGAAATAGGTTCATAAATCACAGTGGAAACCAGAGTGATTCAAAGCAAGAAGTTTTTTTTGTCCGCACTTTGCATAGATTATTGTAACAAAGAATGCTTTATTGGCTCAAAGATCAATGTAAAAATACATATAGAAATGTTTCAGATAGTTTTTAAAGTTGGCCACTTAAAGTATAAGAGGATATAAATCATTTATGGATTAGGAAAATTCAACTCTTGTCTTTGAAAGCATTTTGACATCTGATCGTATGATACCCAAAAGAACAACTGTCCACAAGGAAAGGAATTCTTGACATGACTCGGTATTTATGCATCCAGCTATCGGGTTTTTGGCCTTTGGGCGTTCATGTTGCAGAAGGGTCCAGAGTTGCGATTCGGATGCAAGAATGTTTTACAGTGTTGTTTTCATTTTGTTTACCTTTGTATTTAAACTTGGCTGAATCTGTACTTTATCGAGAAATTGTATACTATATATTCCATGCACTATCAAATACATTTTTTTTATATTCTTTGTCAAATTTTCCATCAACTTCAAAAAAGTTTTGGTTTGACGTCTATGTGAAATTTACTATCATCTACAACAACTTTTTGTTGGCGTCTTTGTTAGATCAATTTGTATGTTTGTTTAAATTTTTTAGTCAGTTGTGTTGTATGTCTGTGATGTATGTTTATACAGTGTTGGTTGCTGGGTCCCAATTATTGTCAGATTAACCTATTATGTCTGTTTGGATTGCCCGCCCAATTGTGTCAATGTAATGGAACTATAAAGGTGTAATACCACCAAATCATAGTACGTCACATCCGGTTGCATACGAAAATAGGTCGAAAATAAATATTCCCTTGAATTTGACAGTTGTAGGTAATTAATCCTACATTCCATTGCAGTAAAACATTTCTGGGTCATAAACATATATCTTGGGTATTTAAAAGCACCATTATTTTTTTATTTGGTGTTTCTATAGAATATTTTGGAAACTTGAGGTTACATGGTTACTAAAGATTGTACACAGGTTAATAAAAGGGGAAAATTTGATTGGTTAACTTCCAGTAATGTTTATTTTCTTATATGCAATGAAATGTTATGTGAATTTTTTTCTATAGTACTGGACAGGATAAAACTTTACTCATGCCAAGTATTTTTTTTTATTTGAAACAAAGATAAATTCTGCACATTTTTTTGAAAAGTGCAAATTTAACAAAGACTAATAGGGGAAAATCAATGGTGGTATTACACCTAAACAACTGTCATACAAGTGGGAGGTTTGGCTGGCTATAAAACAACGTGTAACTCATCCTTTTATCGGAAACTACCTGTACTAATTCAGGAATATGACAGTTGTTTTCTAGTCGTTCCGTTGGTTTATAAAGTATAACGTTCGATTTTGTCAGGTTTTTTTTATGGACTTTCCTCTTTTGAATTTACTTTGAGATCGGTATTTGTGTTAACATTTTTTAAGTAAGGTCACTAGAAATGATGTCAACAGATAAACATAAGACACTGTAACAGATAGGTGATAGTAAATGTCCGAAAATTATAAAGAGAATAGAAACTGTTTATAATACATTTTATGTTTTAGTAACAAGATGAATTTAAAATGTCCTTTTCCAGTGGCAGTCAAGATTACCAGACTTCATCCACGACAGCCTCCATTAAGAACCTTCCTATTAAATTTATTGTTTATTTGTTCTCGTCCTTAACATGCATGTAATATTTGCCAATGGACGTTAAGCAATCACCAATCTATCATTTAGCCTCATTTTAATAATTTAGAACCAAAAGTTACTAATTGGTAAAAGTAGATTTCTTTAATTTTAATTTTGTATACCCCTTCATAAGTAAACAACAGAAGTACATAATTTCAATAACATTAATAAAAATTGTAGGTTCAGTTTGATGGAGATAGTATTCATTTAAAGAATTCCATTCTGGACATCAACAAACAAGTGTCTTACATGGTGATGACAGGCTTAGATCTACCTGATACCTCATATACTGCCAGTATAGCTGCTACGAATTCTATGTATATCCGGAGTAGTAAGATTTACACCAACATAACAGTGAACACAACAACTCCAACTGTTGTTTGTAAGTATATCTATTACCAGTATTACCAGTTTCGTACATATTCAGGATTTGTGGATCCATTAAAAGCAAGTTAATCTGAAGTAAATACATAAAAAAAACGGCAATATAACAGTGTGTATCCTTTCTTTAATGACAATTTTATTTATTTCTGGTGGATATTGCACTAATCATTTTGTGTGTTTAAAGGGCAATTTGATGGGGGCCATTTTCTGTCTCATTAAAATGTATTAAAATCTATTTTATTCTTCTTCACTTTCAAAACAATATATAACATATTTATATATCCTTGACACTTAGTTGCAGAAATGTGACTTGTGCTTTTATAAACATGTGAAAATTGAAACATTCGACCCAAACTGTCATTTTATACAAATTTATTGCAAAATTATAATACGAACAAGGGTCTTAACAGATTATATGACTATTCTGGTATCTACAGATCTACTAAATCTACATGTAGCTAGTGAATTGAGTCAAATTCATATCGTTCCGGTCAACCATTCGTGATAGTCGTCGTAAAACTTGTGTAGTGTCGATTTCAGTCGTTCTTCCTCATAACTCTGTTGGATGTAAGCAGCACATGTTTCAAAAAAGTATTTACAAAAAAATACGAACTCCAAGGTGAATTAAAAAAGATGGAAGTCTATAAAACTTGATTAAATGAAACGTTTGACTAAATCAACCAACGTAACGAATGAACAAATGAAGTCCGTAAAGTGTGAATATGCACGAGCGTCACGTATTGGGATAGGTAAACGCTGTACGATAGGTCAGAGGGTATTTTATTGCCGAAAACGTTTACTGGGATATATGAGATGCAAGTACTAACTGAGATGTGGGTATTTGAATGACAGGACATCATTTATATATCTGAAAGTGAAATTTGAGAACTTTGCTAAAGGATGTTTTTCTTGTTGTCTTGAGAATTCTGTTTCCTATACATTTTTTTTAAATCAGTATATAAACAAGTCGGCCAGTTTGTACCATTGGAAATTGAAATATAAATTTACCAAACAAATATTCTGTTGATCAAAAGGTCCAGCATTTTGATGATATCATCCTCGGTGAATATGTTTTTGGAATCAGTGCGGTTCTTTACAAAGTATAATTTTTTGTGACCATATACAACAATGTGTATCGTCGAGTCCCATTTTGTAAGTGGCCTCATAATACCTTCCATTTTAAACTCGTTTCTGATTTACAATATGTTTCACAAGTAAACTCGCCTGACTAGAGTTTTAATGTTCTTGCTAATGAATGAAAGTTGTCAGGAAACACGTGTTCTGAGCACACAAATTATATCATCATATATTTACTACCCCTGGCTCAGTACAGCTACTGGTAGACTTACAGCTTATAACCAGTACGTCTGAATTGGCATGATTTAGATTTCATTTCATTTTAAATTTGCAGTTCATTCATACTTTGACCAAGTGCGTACCTGAAAAAAGGATATGTGGGGTATCTGATATCAATGAGACAGTAACCCTGATTACAGTTATTCAAGAAACATTTGTTGTGCTCAAGAAAATCAGTATATTTTGTTAACAAGAAAAGAAGACACCACTCATATTTTGTAAATAAATGTGGTAAAAAAAATATATCAAATCATGGAAAAGAAATATGTAAAAAATGTAAAAATGGAGGAACAAAAAAAAATGGTTGTATCAAAACCATAAGTCTAGAAAAAGACAAACTTTTATCAGAGTAAATTGACACAAAGAAAACCATCAGTCAAAATATATTACACAATTAAACTAAGGATGATCAACACAAAGCCTACAAAAGATCCATTATGAGTTTAAATGCTCGTGAAGGGTCAGCGAAACATGCCTATTTTTTTTTTAATGTGACTTGTTTAGTATTGATTATATTGAAAACAATTGTTTACTTAATCCATTTATTGTATTTGTCATTTAAACAGATGGGTCTAAACTTTCTACAATAAAAAATGGCGATGAGATAATTATCAACTGGAATGACTGTTTTATTAACTCTGGAAGTCTTGTATATGAAGTATCTGTAGGAACTACACAAGGTGGCGCTGATGTCATCCAGTGGCAGGAAACTAAAAACACTTTTATCAATATACTGCTTACTGAGAAACTGAAAAGTAAATCAAACCTCAATCTGTTCTTTTTAATTAGAGCTATTGACCACAACGGGGCGTTTTCCTCATTAAGTGATGATATTTCTGTGTAATAAAGGCAGCTTATATTCATCTCATGTTCAATATTTAAGATGTAATACTGTGATTTTAATAAAAATTCCATTTAGAAAGGAAAAGGTATAATAAGATCGCGTTTTTGTAGCTTGAATTTTTAAATAAAGAAGTAATATAAATCTACTAAATAACATTTTTCAGATTTTTTCAGATTCCAAATAATGGCTCTTATCATACCTCCTCCTTTGTCCTACATCATTATTTATCAATTGTCCTGGGTTTTTTTTTTGTCAATGTGTGTGGTTAATATATTTCCCCTTGCTATGACTTTCTATATTGTATCCAACATTGAATCCTGAATAAGTTAATACAGATGTTAAATAGTAACATGGTTTGTGTGTTTTGATTATAAATTATGATTATTTGTTGTATAATTTTTCATTCAGTTTACAATATGTATACTTCTATATGTGAATCTTGGTTTCAATCTGTCAGAGGACAATTTTTGATATTTGTTTTAAATGAATATTTTGCATAATGAGAATGTAAAAATTAAATAAAGCAGATTTTAATAAACCAACACGTGCAAAGGCTAATGCATATCACTAGGCTTATTTTGCCTTTCAGACTACAGTAATGCAAGATACAGTTATGCAGGTGTAGATTTTTTTGTGTTCAGCACAAACCATGATAGAACTCCTCGATGAGCCATATACATTTTATTCTAAGGCTGATAGTCTTTTCCCTCTATCTATATGTTTTAATTAATTAAACCGAAATACAATGCGCGTTTCAATTTAATTTTGCTGATGTATTGTGTTTATTTGTGCTGTATTACTTCATTATGTCTTCAGGATTACTACTATCTTGTTTCATATCTTCTTTGCAATCAGGGGAGAAATGACAGCTTCGGTGTCGTGTCCAAAACTTGTCCATGTCACGTTTTACGATTTCAGCGGCTCTTCATTGAAAAAGATAAATTTGTCAATGTTTTTTATTAAAATGAACTCCCTATTCTATTTTATTTTATTATATAATGATAATGTTATTCATTTGTTGTGGATACATTTGATCATTATAAAGATATTTTAATGGCGGGAGTTTTTACCCCATCTCAAAAGACCGACTACAATGCAATTCTTATAAGTTGTATGTTTCAAAGATCGATCTGATGAGTTAAACCCTTTTCAACTGACTTTTATAGTTTGTTCTTATGTTGTCCTGTAACACGACTGTCGCAGGTTAGTGGGAGTGTTGAGCGAACATGTTTTACCCCGCCACATTCTTTATTTGCCTGTCCCAAGTCAGGAGCATGTAGTTCACTGGTTATCGTTGGTTTATGTCTGTCATATTTGGTTTTTGTTTGTAAATCATTTTGTTATAAATTAGGCCGTTAGTTTTCTCAACTGAATTGTTTCATATTTTTCATGTCGGGGCCTTTTATAGCCTACTATACGTTATTTGTTTTTGTCATTACTGAAGGCAGTACGGTTGCCTATAATTGCTTACATCCACTTCTTTTGGACTTTGGTGGATAGTTGTCTCATTTGCAATCATACCACATCTCCTTATTTTTATATACATTTATGAACACTTGCCTCTAATTTCAAATGTACAAACTCCGTGTCCTGATGAATGACAAATAATCACTGAAATCGATCGATAATATGAGACATATCAGCATGCCGTGTGCAGAGTATTGTCCATCCTCTCCTTTGCAATGGTCTTTGTTTTTGTTGTACACCCATCCAAAACATTTTTTTCAATATTTTTTCTATCGTAATTCTGGATTTATCTTCATTTACATCTGAACATTTAAAAGACAGGGGTGTAAAACAATACATAGAAACATTAGGAGCTACATAACACAAAAATACTTACCAAACTGAACCTAGAAAGAATACCCAAAATTCAACAAAGGTTAATTTTGTCTCAAAGAGACGGAACCTTAGTTTCTAACTTATTTATTAATTATATAAACGAGGAATTTTAGAAGTGTATGATTAAGCTATGTCAGTTTGGTTATTCTGTAATTACAATTGAGTTGTTGTCTAAAACAGTTATAGCTGAAAGGAGTGGTAATTTGTATTCTTCTGGTTATGCAGCTTAACTACAATCTCACTTACCCGTAGAAACTCGCCTAATAGTCGATCCTACTATAAGTCGGGGGCCCTTTTCAGCTCCAAATTCTAAGGATTTAGTCTTGACCCTCGTATAAGTCGGACAAAATTTGGGCATTTTTTTTTCAGCTGACAGTAACTGAACGCCGGTAAAACCAATGCAAATCCAGGAATAATATTCATTTCTGCATTAATGTTTGTTTGGTTTGAATTTAGTTGATGCTCATCATGATAATTTATATTGCTGTTAATAATAAAGATGTATTCATTTCTCTTGTTTTGTTCACTGTTCAAATGTTAGATTAGCCATGTGTTGTTTACATAATGCATCAATGATTTTGTAGGGTATGACTAATAACCTATTGTTTGAGAAAAGCGAATATAAACCAATATGAACCTGAAAAATTTAAAGTCAATCAACACTTGATGAAAATATTTTTCACAGCATACATAACTTGGTGTTAAATGAGCATGTACACTTCATAATTCTTATTATATTGTGATGATTAAAGGATTAAAAAAATTAAGTGAAGCTAATCAATATATTCAAATAACTCCAACTCATTAGTGTCATCTGTTTACCTATCACTGATAGTTTTCACACCTTTAGTAAATACAACTCTTTGTCTCTTAATTGGGGTTATCAATGGATTATATTGGCTTGTCAATCAATTTTGTAATTTTTGTTTACCTGAGACACTTTAATGAATAATATTTTGATTTTGGGAATGAATCTTAAAATTATTTTTTGATTATTATATGATTTATAAGCATTGAATTGATATCATGATATCACAATAATGACACAATAACTCCGCTGAAAACATCCTTTCACATATTTGGTACATTGTTATCTCCTTTTCATTTTTGGTTCTTGGCTCTTCTTTTGGGTTTATAGGAAAACCATGTGACCATGAAAATCAATACACAAACCGGAAACAGTAGAATTTCAACACGAATTTGCAGAAAATGTTTACCAAAGAACAAATAAAACACAAAGACAGTATTGTAGTCATTTATTTTCAACAAAAACTTTTTATTTATTGATTTATGTAGGTTTGGCAATCAAAAACGTAGTTTTGACCAGGAAATTCACTCCTGACCACTTTTCTCAAGCTTGGATTTTTCCTCTGGTCGCTAGATCTCGTCTATTAGTCGGTCCCCCTCTCTGGATTATTAATTTTACTCCCAATTTTCCGACTAATAAGCGAGTAGGAACGGGTACCAGTACACAAAAACAGTACTTGTTAAAGCCCTTATAAATGAATTAATAAGCAGATCAGATACAATTTTCTAGATATTATTTGACCAAGGGAAAATGTTGTGACTCTAGAATAAGACTGTTATCAAATAAAGTAATTTCAGCAATTAAAACATCATTTATACGGATGTTTGACGTTTTTTCTAACTAACTTATGTTGCAAAGGTGTTTCAATTTGTTGACTATTGATAAAAACTTATTAGCACATCACAAACAATCTTTTGTATGCAGAAATAGATTCGAAACAAAAATTACAGAAATTGAATATGAATAAATGCTATTTCTGCATGAATACGATTGAATATACGTCTAACAGACAAGTGATTCAGCGACAAAAACCACAAAAAGACTTCCAGAGATAAAAATAATGTCCCAAGTAGTAGACAATTGTCTTTATAATATATATAGCTCTAAATCATCCCGAGTTTAACGAAGTTTTTGATAAATAGGACAAAAGTTACTAGAATCAATGATCTTCCATCACCGTCAAATTCTTTGAATACTTAAAAAAAAAAAATCAGCATTAAAATAAGACATCATATGACGAGTTTCCTGGCTTTGGGCAGGCATATTAACTTTTGGCGGGGTTAGACTAGTTTTCAGAGGGAGGTTTGTGCGCAAAAAAGACATTGTATGGTTTTAACCGAAGACATTTTATGCTTTTACCCAGACCATTAATGTTCGCTGTTGTTCGTCTTTATAAGTACATGCTGGTCGCTTTTGGAGGAGTCGGAATTTTGAGTGTGGTATGTTGTACTGTCCAATATTGGTTTTGCAATTACTGATATCCTTTTAATGTCTTATTGGATACCGGTGACCTTGGTTTACTCCATTCTACCCGAGTCAGAAGGAACAAGAGCTTGAATAATCGCACCACATGCCCGGTCCGTCCGAAAAACATTGAGGATACCTAGTTTGTGGCATGCATTGCACAAATACTTTTCTTTCAACATAAATCATTCAATATTAATCAATCATTGCACACTGGATGAAAACGTGCATATTGGCCGCAACTTGACCTATAATGGTTTACTTTTATAAATTGTTACTTGGATGGAGAGTTGTCTCATTGGTATTCATACCACATCTTCCTATATCTATATATTGTGTTTTATACAGATTTCAAATATTTTTTTCTGCGATACCTAGTTTGTGTAATGCATAACTCTATACAAATAAGGAGATGTGGTATGATTGCCAATGGGACAATTATCAACCAGAGTTCAAATGACGTGATATGCCATTAAAAGTCACCGTACGGCCTTCAACAATGAGAAAATCCCATACCGTAGAGTCAGCTATAAAAGGCCGCGACATGTAGCAGTTTTCCATCCATTATACGCAAACTTGACAGTGATTGCATATTGATTGATTATGTCACCTCATATTTCGAACAGATTACAATGGAACTTACAACTGTTTGTCATTGCCTGTACCAAGAAAGGATTATGACAGTTGTTTTCCATTCGTTTGATGAAACCATTTGGCTACATTAATATCATTTGTGAAGCCCGAGTTTGAGGAAAAGGGAAAATTTTGGATTTTCAAACTTTTCAGATTTTCTTAAATTTTGTAATATTTATCCTTTTAAAATCAAAATACGTATGTTATGTCCAAAACTATTGGCTTTCCCATGTGAAGGAATAGAACATATATTTTATAAAAACCAAGCGATTTATTACCTGATATTATGAAATCTTATTGAAATGGAAAATATTACCCCTACGCATCCACTATTTGAGCATAAAAGAATAAAAGTCATCAAATGAAGACTTAATACACCAACTGAAACAAAAATTTGGTAAAAAAATGAAAACAACACTTTATAAATTTCAAGCGTCCGAAGCACATTTCTGTATTTGCCTCATCAGGAATGCTCATAGCCGAATATTTCAAAGCCAATAATGTATAAAAACCGAAACACCTGAAGAACTATATATGATAAAAATAAGACCCAAAAATAATAGCCATATCCATCGGATGTCAACTTTGCCCGAGGGAAGAATAAATTTGAAATTAAGAGCACATATATCTTTAAAGACACCTAGATCGTTCAAAGTTATTTTTGTAAACAGAGAAATTAAAACAAAAGGATAATTTCGGATTTGCAGATTTATTTTTGATTTGAAATTAAAATGTCATAAATATCCAGCTTAAATCGAACTGTTTTCGTTTACTCTGTTGGCTTTTATAAATGCCACAATGTATTTTAAGTTTTTAAACACCAGAGATCAATTATTTTCTTTACGAAATCTAATGATAGAAACAATAATTTTTATCAAACTATACTTGCATTTATATTGAATATTTATAATTTAAGCAATACAGATTAACTTAAGACATTTTTGTAATTACAGGCTTGAGAAAATAGACATTTTTTATCTCCCATTTAGGTTTTGTTCTCATCTTTATAGGAAGTGAATACTTATGTTAACATTATATTTGATGACCTCAATGAGTAATGTATTTGCTTTCCAATTATACAGAACTTTGATCAATTCTACTGATAAAATCGCAGATTAATGGACTATAATACCATACTTCTAAACATATACATGTATTCAACTTTTGAGGGAGGGGTATTATTTCCAATTTTGTTGTGATTTACGCTTCAGAATTTATCTAAGATTTGTGTTAAATAGAACTCCAATACATTACTGATTCACTGAGACCATCATATCTAATGTTAACATATGCATTTATTTCTCAGAAAAGTGAAAAAGTCTAAATTTGGGATATTCTGAACATTTTGAAAACCTGAAATGGTCCGGTTTTTTTTAAATATATATTCTGCCATTACAGAAATGGATTTGAACAATCTCGGATGCTTTGATTATAACTATTTGATATAAATGAGAAAAAAAAATGAACAAAATTAATACTTATTTTTATGATTTCTAGCAGTTCTCAGTCAAATTTGATCTCCTATGCTTATAAGAAACCGAATACCTAATTATTTCACTAAGAAATGTACAAGTTTTGGGATTTACAAAAGAATTTTGAGTTCAGACGGATAAAAATGACAAGATTTGAAAAAAAATCCGAAAAGTTTGAAAATAAAAAATTATCTGTTTTTCAAAATTTGTGGCAACGATAATAGATTTGAACAATTCACAGTAATAATAACGCATGAATTTGACTTAGATGCAAGTAATTTGACCCAAAACATTGTCTAGATATGTGATTTTATCCTTCATTTGTAAAATTTGTTTGTTTTTGTTTAAATTTGCAATGGGTACATGTAGGAGTAATATTTTCAGTTGCCGTAATAGTTTGTACAAGAACATGATAGATCTCTGGGCTTCATAAGATTTTAGATACATTGTTGCGTGCAAGAAGGCCTAATCTTTTTGTGTCAACATATTTTATAGTATCAAAAGGATAAAATTAATAAACTTGAGACATTTTGGAAAAACTATAAATCCGAAATTTTTTTACTCTTTTTCAAAATTGAAGCAACAGTAATGACTTAGGGCGAGACAGGCGGATGAATATACTTCTGTTGTATGTTAATGCTTCTTATTTATACTAGATTATTGTTCAGTTGAATAATTATAGGTGTTAATTGTTTGAAATTCATAGTTTTCAGTTGAAATATTTTAAGATTTTACCCAATTAAATTTGCCCAGTTCTGGTTTTCATTAGAAAGCTCAAACAGTGTTCTATAAAATGATATCCATCAAATTAATGAATAAAATAATATTTGGGTAAAAAAATGCAAAATATGGTAAAAAATTTGAAAAATCTAAAAATCTGAAAATTTCCCATCTTCCTCGTATTCCGACTGTGAACATTGCTTCAAACAGGTCAAATGCAAACAAATATATTTAGTTATTACAATAACTATCAGAATACGTCAAATTTTATATTTAGTGTTTATATTTTATATATTTGGGAGCAACACATATATGTTTTCTTTTAGCATTTTTGTTTATTTTTCATTGGTTGGGGGAGATGTATTTTAATTGTGAGATTAATCGTAAACAACAAAGTTGAAAACCTGATAATATT